GTTTTAGACTAGAAATACATGGTTGATGATGTCTATTGCTAATGGCGTTGAGTTGAATCGTCTCTGTTTGTTGGGTTTAGTATTTTCTATTGCATGTCAATGTTAAAGTAGAACCATTATAATGGCATCATTCATATACTGATTGATGGGCACTGGTATTGGAATTTGCCTACTAATACCATGATATCAAAGCTACTAAGTTGATCCTCACAGGGTGTTCAGCTCTTCGAAATGGTTCACAACATTTCCACAACTTAACATGCGGTCGCCGGCCTGGCTGACCGCACCGTATCTATCATCAATCGAGTTGGCAGGTGACCTTTCTCCTCACATAGCTAACCTCGAGTTCCCTAGGGTGTGATCGATCTTGGGAACAATGGCTTCGTGGTTGATCCCCTGAGAAGTTAAACGTAAATGCTGTCGGAGGGGAGATGCATGCAGAGCTCGGTTCTTTGGCTAGGCTTCAACTTCTTCAACTACCCAGGAATAACCTAATAGGAACAATTCCACCTTCATTAGGGAAATATCTCCTCTCCATCATTTTTCTTGCTTTATGAGTCACAATTGCCCTTTTTCATATAAGAAAATCATAATCTCTACTTCATTTTCCCCCTCCATCATTTGGTCCATAACAAAGTAGAAATTCTGTAACTAGAATTGCATGAGAAGCGAAATTCTTTAATGGTTTATACCTAATCCATATTTTTGTAAAATTACTGTTTATCCTTTATATTTTGGAACTTTATAATTTAGTTCGAATATGAAATTTAAACATTTCTTCATTAAATACAGATTTCATAATTATTTAGTCCAATATTATTAACTAAATTAAAAATTATTTCGATATTCAATATTAAAATATTACTTTTTATTAATCTAGGGTAAGTCAAAAGATAGTAATTTTTCAAAAATAACTTTCAATCATTTGACGTTGAATGCTCATATCTTTGTCATTCTCAGTGCTCAAACCCGAGACTTCAAAGAACAACAACAAATTCTTTATCACGGTCACTCGGTTAGTGCTTGAAATACTATTTAAATGTCAAAATAAAATATAATTTGATATTGAAAATTTTGAGATATTTTACGAAAAGTATTATATGCAATTATTTTAAGGGTAAACTATGTATTTCGTCAGTCAGTTTTACTTCAGTTTTTTGGTTGTTTAACCTAAAAAAATTATGATTTTATCATGTAACTTTCGAATTTGATTTTATAATCAGAGGCACGTTTCCCAAGACCCGGGCCAGGGAGGTCCGAAGCCTTGAGGCCACGGTTTCTGATGATGATATCAAGCAAGCCCTGTTATATATGCATTTGACATAGATTCAAAATCCACCAAACACATATTTAGTTTCCATGGTAAGCTCAACTATGGCTTTTAACATGCTTATATGGACCCTTTGTGATTCTTGACACGATTATATAAATTATTTGAGACGCTTTCCAACACATTGTATTTATGATTTAGAGACAACATTTATAGAATTGAATCGAACATGAACACTTCAAAAATATAATATCGACTCTTTAGAATTCATCTGACTGTCCGGCAAATGGCACTTCGTAGATCTCTCTTGAAAACGTAGAGAGATCCCTTTACATGGCTTAATTCCTTCATTAATTTGCATCAAATGATCATTGGCAAGCCAAATTATTCATTTTCCAAATGTAATACGCTGCAGAGAATGGGTTGCCAAGCATATGTCAAGCTTTCCTTGTAAAAAAGAAAACAGTAGGGGGTTAGGAGAATCTAGGGTCCCGTGAGCCAGCCAGTCACTTTTTTCACTGCAAAACAATACCCCAATGTTAGATTTGAACATGAAGGGTCGCTTTAACCCACAGCTCGTTGTGTTGTTTGTATGCATATTCCTATATAGATTTGGGGTCCCCTACACTCCATTGCAGGTCACTGTGTCCCAGTGTTGACAAACCTAAAGCAAGGCTAAATGAAGAGCTCCTTTCTTTTTCCTTCCCTCTTGCTGGCACCAAAAGAGAACTCTGCCTCCTCTCACGTGCATGCATCATATTTTCGGTCTAATTATGAATTCCGTCCCTCTATTTAAGAGATTAATCCATTTAAGTTATCAAAATCTGGTCCTTCTGCATAAGTATGGAAGCACTTGTAGATTGTGCAGATTGTAGAGGAGATGTCACTCGAAACCCTTTTTTCGTCGAACGAGCTGTTGAACGTTATCATCTATGATACTATATTTGCAACCCCATGTAGCAGCCATGGCCATGACTCTTTGGTGACAAATTGTTTCAGCTCCTTGGAACAAGCTGGTACTAGTGGTGGTGGTGCTTTGAGTTGCTTGCCAGTGGTGAACCCGAAACGGCGTTTGAATGGTGAGGCGGTTCAAGGGAGGAAAAAGAAGAGGAGAAAGCCGAGGGTTTGCAAGAACAAAGAGAAGGCACAGACGCAAAGGATGAATCACATTGCTGTCGAGAGAAACAGGCGGAAGCAGATGAATGAGCATCTCGGTGTATTACGCTCCCTCATGCCTCAGTCCTATGTCCAAAGGGTAATTTGTCTTATGGTAAATAATGATTTGAATGAAATATCATGGAAAAAAAGCTAATTATTACTTTAATTTAACCGTTTTCGTCCAATACACACAATATTGAATGGTTTTTTTACATGGTGTAGGGTGATCAAGCATCCACAGTTGGTGGAGCCATAGAGTTTGTCAAGGAACTTGAGTACCTCCTGCAAACACTCGAAGCACGAAAGCTTCGAGTGTTGCAGCAGCAGCAAACTGTTGGCAATGAACTAGAAACCAACGGCGACAAAGATTCCGAATTATTGTCGTCGTTATTTTCACATTTCTTCATGTACCCTCAGTATGCCTGGTCTCAGAATCCGAACAAATACACACCGAAGACAACGGCATCGTTAGCCGATATCGAGGTGACATTGATCCAAACTCATGCTAATCTTCGAATTCTGTCACGGAAAGCTCCCAAGCAGCTTTCCAAGCTCGTTGCTGGTTTTCACTCACTTTACCTTTCCATCCTTCACCTTAATGTTACATCCATGGATACATTAGTTCTCTACACTATCAGCGCCAAGGTATGTAAGATATTATTACATTGTACATGATTTTAGCAAATATTGATGAACATTGTATTGGTTAAAATTGTGGTTTTGGTCCCTCTACATTTATAATGTCATCATATAGTCTATATAATTAAAGGAAATCATGGTGTTTTGGGCTAAGATTTGAAGCAATTTGAATGAAGGTTGAAGAAGGATGCCAACTGAGTTCAGTGGACGACATAGCAGAGGCAGTTCACAACATGCTCAGAAATAACTGAGGAAGATGCTGCAACTGCTGCATTATGTTGATATCAACTTTGGGCTACCCAAAACCCTTTTGATTTATCGTCAAATCACCAAAAATACCATCATCTCCCTCTGTTTTTAGGGTTCTTGTTGAGAGGGGTGTTTAGAGTTTGTTCATTTTTTTCAGTAGATTTTTTTTTTTACTTTGAGTCAATGAAAAGTAGTGTTTTGAATTTTGAGTTTTTCTTAGGCATGACTTTTCATGGTGTTTAATAAATAATGGGATGGATGGTGAGGTCACGTAATTGCATGCTTAACATGCTTTGTATCGGATATATATGAAGAGTTCCTTTGATTCTGGTTTAGTTTATATTTTTTTCTAAAATTATGGTCCAAGTATAATTTTAAAATTTTAATAGGTTTAATGAAATTTTTTAAAATTTATGAAAAGAAGTTTAATTAAGAAAATTAATTTTTTTAAAAGTTTAATCTAAATTTCTAAATTTTTTAAAGGATTAGATTAATCTTTTAAAAAAATTAAGATTTTAAATTATAATTTTTAAAATTTTATGAAACCATGACCCCACTTAGGGAATGGGCATGGGTCGAGTTGAGTCGGGTTTTTGGTCCACCCGACCCGACCCGAGAACAAGGGAGCCTCCACCCGAGACCCGACCCGATCAAAACAAGGTTTCAACCGACCTGAACCCGACCCGATATATAACTTAGAAACCGACCCGACTCGAAATAACATAAAAATTATTTTTATTCAATAAAAACAGTGACTTAATTAAAAAAAAATTATATATAGAGAGGTATTATTGTAATTATTCTTAAATATAAAGGTAAAATTATATATATTTTTTGGATCGAGTCTGGTCAGGTATTTTTCACCCTAAACCCGAACCCGGCCTAACCCGAATACCAACTTAAAAAAACCCGACCCAACCCGAAGCCGAATTTTTTTTATTAAAAAAATATGACCAGATCGAGTCGGATCGAATCGAAAACCGTCGGGTTCGGGTCTTATGCCCATCCCTAACCCCATTAGTCTCTCTTTAGTTCCGCCACTTAGAACAAATACCCTAAAAACCGATATCAACCATTATTGGTGGTTCAACTATTTTTTCAATCAATAACACTTCACATAATTTCCTTTATCTCAACGAAATGAGATTTTTATTGAAGAAAAAGATCATTCAAGATCACCATATACCTCGTTAAAAAATCCCTTTATTTATAAGAGAAAAAACATATAATGGTGATCAAAGATATAGAAGAGACGCCTCTAAACAAAGACATGAACTTGTACTAACCCTAATCTCAAGAGCTTATCAAACTTATTTCGAATAAGATTAACACCATCGCAGTTACATAACAATGATAATCCCCACATGGGCTCTTCCCTACTTCCAAGTACGAGACGTTTCCCCTAAAATGGGAACTTTTCCTCATAATCCCTTGAAAAATTATGCAGATACAAATTAGTCCAATAAAAAATAACACTTTAACCCCTCAAACATTTATAAAATCGTTCTAACCCTAAATAAAAATCTTAACTTTATCTCTGGATTTACGTGTAATAGGACTTGAACTTGAGTACTTCAATTCGACTTTTACCAGTCATATTAACGTATGGTTAACAAAATCTTCCCCCCTTTATATTTTAATTCTCCCTCGAACGCCGTCTCTTTTTTCTCTGTTTTTCAATTAGTTTTCTCTTTTCAATTCATTCAAGCTGGCGATCGTTAATCAAGACTCCTAAATCCGTGAAATCAAGCCCAAAAACAGAAGAATCATGGTAAATAGACACGTTTTTTAACTCAGTGTTCTGCTTTTTTAACTGTTTCTGTTTCCTGTTTTTTTTTTTCTGTACCCATCTGGGTATTCGTTAAAAAATGTGTTTTTAATCGAATGTTGGTTGATTGATAGGGGCCCGATGAAGAAGACAACAACAGGTGGCCGCCATGGATGAAACCTTTGTTGAGGGAACAATTCTTCGTTCAATGCATGCTTCATCTCGACTCACACAAGAGTGAATGCAATATGTACTGTTTAGACTGCATGAATGGCGCTCTCTGTTCCTTTTGCCTTGCTTATCACAAGGATCATCGTTCCATTCAGGTGCATTGAATCGAGTAACGAACGCGTAATTTTATGTTACGAGACGGAATTTCGATTTTACTGATTTTTTGTGCGTGTGTTTTTGGACAGATAAGGAGATCTTAGTACCATGATGTAATAAGGGTATCTGAGATTCAAAAGTATTTAGACATATCATCGTCCTGTTAGATCATTTGTTTGTTGGTTTCACATGTTATTTTTTGATAAATTAATACAATGAATGAATTTTAAGATTATCGAATATGGGACTTTTAGGAAGAGTGCAACGCCTGACCACTGTGTTAAGAAAAAATATTTGTTGTTGACGAGAAATAATATTTATGTTCAACAATTGTTGGAATTAAATTTATTTATTTTAATATATATAAAATATTTATTATAGTAATAATAATTTAACTAGTTTGATTTTAAAATATAATCATATAAAAATATTTCTTTTTAACGATGTTATTTTATGCATTTAATATTTGGTGTGAAGGAGAGGTTTATGTATTAAGGTGGATCCAACAAAACTATTTCTTAGCTCTCACGCGTGGGGAAGAGTTTAAGAGGGAGGGGTCCGACATTATTCCAAAAATAGGTTTGAAAGTGTTGGTTGGTTGGGTCAGATGTTTTAAAGGATTGGTTCCTAGCAGCTGGTTGGGGATGGGGACTACATAAGTACTACGATTTTTATTTAACCCGATTTGATAAGGTCTGATTTTTTATTAAAAAAATCGGGTTCGGGTTGGATCGAGTTGGATTTTTTAAGGGGTAAGGTCAGATCAGATTCGTAGAGGGTGAAAAATTTCGAACCGACACGAAGACAATAATATAATTTTCTTAAAAAATTGTTATTTTTTAACTAAATCCTTAATTTATACCGGGTCAGGTCGGGTCAAATTCATACTCTAGAAAATTGGATCAGGTCGGATAGGATTAGGTGTATGATATAAAAATTTTTAGTCGGATTCGGATAGAGGATATAAATTTTCGAGTCGAGTCGTATGAACAAAAAACCCGACCTCAACCGGACCCGTTGCCATCCCTAATAATGGCAATGGTTTACTTAGCGACAACCATTAAGGGAGCTGGCGTGATGGGTTAGCGGTGTAAACAAGGGTGGTCATGAGACTATACTCGAAAAGTTTTGACTCGATCCAATTTTACAGGATCAGTTCTTTTTTTCTAAGTTCAAATTCAAGTTCAAGTACGACTAGGTCAATATTTTTAGAGGATAACGTTGGGTCAAATTAATATTTAAGGTAAAAATAATCTACTCCACTTGATATGATCATTCCTAATTCAAAATTCAAGCCCAACAAATGTTGACTATGGTAAAAAAATTTGGCAAAAATAGAAGCAACTAATTTTATTAAAAAGAACAAATATTCTAAATATGAGGATTTTCAACTATAATAGTAAACTAAACACATAATTAAGATTCTTCTATAATCAGTAACACAAGAAACTAATCACTTAAGATTATATAAGGATCATATATAAAGAAAATGTGAAAAAATCATCCAAAAATAGCTCGAATAATAGGTATATACAAATAGATCTAATTACTACAATAAACAAACCATAATAGGAAATTAAACTACTAAAAAAAACCGACAAATACAAAGTAAAGGCAAGCATCACTAAAGTTTATAAACACCATCTACGTATCTAAATCTAATTCGAGAGTTTAAAAAAAGTGCACAAGACATAGATATTACCATACGTGTATATATATAAGTTGATCAAGTGTCATATATATCTCATGCATGCGTTGCATGGGAGCTTGTACTTTTATGCCTTGGATGAGGATAACGTATGAAATATTAGGTTAGGGTTTGTTGAGCTGAAAACCTAAAAGCTATGCCCTTCTCTCTTGCGTTTGGTAATTGGATTTTTAATTAAAAAAATTATTACTTTAATAATATTGAGTGGGGCAACGACTTAGATGACGCAGGTGTGAAACGTGTCGGTGCCACGTACTATACTTATTTTTATGTATCATTTAATGCCTAATTAAGCTCAACCATATTCTCTACGTGTGAACAAATCACATTGCTTTCTGCCTACAATGTCGTCCGCTCCATAAACCTATATAAAGGTTAAACTCTTCTATAGTCCCTCGGTTATACATGAGTTATAAACTTATTCCTTATACTCTAATTCGGTTATTTGAGTCCTTATAAATGTTTGGAATTTTAATCCTAACACAAACAGTAATTGTGAATTTAACTATTAATTCTGTTAATTCAACTATTATTTCTTATATTTCTAAAAGAACTATTAGATCTTATACTATGCTTAAGTTGTAAATTTAGTTTATGTTCTTCAATTAGATTAGTTTAAATCATTAATGTAATTTAGCCATACTGTCTTTGTATCATTTAGTCCACGATTGAAACTTTAAAAACTAAAAAGTGCAGGGATTGAAACTGACTAAATTAAAGTATAAAGACTAAATTTACAACTTGTGTATCATACAAGGGTTAATGACAGAATTTGATCCCAATATTATTGTCAATCTCGTAAATATTACACATACCACTAGGAAGTCTCAAAATTCAGTACCAAAACGCGACGTTCAATCCACCAAAACTTATCAATCGTTGCCCAACCTCACGTACTAACGAGTACAAGCAATAAAAGCTAGACATAGGTCTAATTTCCTTTCGGTCCCTTTACTCTTTACATATTTAGAATCTAATCTCTATTTTTTTTACCAAATTCTGTACTTTAATTCTAAAATTTTAATGTTTTTCACTCTTTTTATTAAATAATTAAAGCCCAACTTATATTATCATCAAAGGGTTTCTGTTAAATTATATTATATTCTATTTTTTATATTATCATAAGATCATTACTCTCTTTGAAAATACATATTTAATAGGATGTGTAGTGTACCTGCTTGTAAAGTCTAAAGCCAAAGACTAAAAATGATTAAACTCTTGGGATTAAAAGTAAATGGTCTAAATTTAAAATGTGTGGATAGTACAAGGACTGTTAGTAGAATTAGACAAGAAAGTTAAAGCTAACCATGGTTAACATCCTAGCTGTTAGGGAAATAACCATGGTTAACTCAACTGCCCCTATCAAAAAGCTTCCTTCTTAACGAACACCACAAAGGAACTGCGGACAGCAAAAGAAAAAAAAAATGGCTTTCTACGCCGACGAAGAAAAGGTCTGGAAATGCGCAAAGCATCCTTCGAAACGACACCGCAGTGGAATCTGTCCCGTTTGTCTCCAAAACAAGCTAGCATCTCTTTGCCCCGACTGCGCCCACACTCGTCCGTGCGCGTGCACCGCAACCTCTTCTTCTTCATCATCCTCATTTTCCTCCTTCTCCTGCTTCTCAACCGCCGGTGATGTCTCCGATTTCGGAGCCGTATTCCGAGTACCTAGTCTCATCGGAACCGAGCCTGCGTTCCGGCGATCCAGATCCCTCGGGATCTCTTTCCTCCGTTTGAAACCAGAGAATTTGACCGAAAAGAACGATTTATCGGCGAGCAAGACGCCGTCGTTTTGGTCGATGTTTAGAGGTAGTACTAACACGAGCAAGCGATTCGACAGCGGGGTTCATCGGAGAGAAGTCGAGAAAGAGAGTGTAACGACAGCGGTAGATGAAAGGATGATGATGAGGAAGTCGAGGTCGATGGCGATGGAGATGACGTCACATTCCGGAACCGGAGACTCGAAATCCTCCACGTCGACGAAAGGGAAGGGATGGTACCTCACGAGTCCGATGAAGGTTTTGAGGCGAAGTAGGGTTTCGAAATTCGTTTTCCGGCAGCATTAGCCTGTGTTTCGAGGTTGATTAGTGCAAGTGTTCCATTATTACTATTATTTGTTCTTTATATTTGTATAGTAAAAAAGAAATTAACAATCTGACTTGAAAATTATATATCTTCTACCCATTTTGACTCGACCCGAAAATATGTATCATCCATCTGACTTCGATCCAACACGGGATAAAATAAGTATTTAATTAAAATAATAATAAATTTTTAAAAGAAATTACACTATTATCCCAAGTCAGACCGAAGTTTTTTCACTCTCTATCCGAACCTAATCCGACTAGACTTCACTCCCTTAAAAAATTTAACTAGATCTGATCTGAATTCGATTTATTTTTTTATAAAAAAATATAACTCTATCAGATCACGTCGCTTCAAAACTCATCGATTTCGAGTTAAATTCATGGTCCAGTAGCAATACATGATCTTAATTTGTTGCTTGAGGGGGGGGTTAAAAGACAAGTCATGTGGGGGAGAACGTGGAAGTGTGTCGTTTTGATATTTGGTGGCATTGAGAAATGTATATTCATAAGATTCTCATTTTGTTGGATTTTCTAAATCCAACGTACAATTTCATATGGCAACAGACATGTGCACACGAACGCCATTTCCTTTATTGTCTTTGATAATTGGTGGGTGGTGTTGGATAAAGTAAGTTGTATTTCTTTTGTGTGCGATTAGAAGATAGTACCATTACCAACAATAAGTTGGTCTACTGGCATGAATTACTAGGTCCCTTAAGTAAGGTTAGGGGTTCGAATCCTGACGTTTGTGAATTGAGCAAATTGGGTTGGGAGGGTCGCCCTCGCCTCTGCAGTACCTGATCTGGATTAATCGGTCAATAGATCAGATATCAGTGAATAATTTAAAAAAAGATAATATCATTTGTCTAGGGATTAACGGTTCTTTAAACATATTCTCGGTTGAATTGGCACCTAAATCAGCTTTTATCACGTCGTGAGAATTTAAACTCACTATACAATGAATAAACCCATCAGGATTAAAGAATATACGGAAACATAAATAAACTATCAGGACTACCTAAACCACCAATAACAAGTTGTGATCTCTCGAAAAAAATATCTATATCATATCGACAAACAAGTCCCCGATTTTAGTAAAAATATGTTATTAGTCCTATGCCATTTTACGCAGGTTGCCAACTAAGAATCGACATGTATAAGATGGGTCAGATTATTGATGTTGTTAGATTTGGCTTGAAATTAAGTTGGCAAGTTGGAAATTTCATCTTGGTTTGTGGTCAATTTTGAAACTACGCTCGTGTGGGAAATAACCCGATTTCCCCAACAGATGTTAGATGTAGTCTCTGTATGACGAATTCAGAAACTAGACCCCATATTGATTCATCCTTTTTGTTAATTAATTAATACACAACACCATGAAACCTAAGCTCGGTTTTCACGTCTTTAAAAAAAATGTAAGAAAACAATGTGTCATAAACCTGGAATTTCACATTTTGATGATATTCACTACGAAACAAATCGGTTGTTTATGGTAAAAATATGTACGGCTACCACACTATATCTGTAACATCCTCAATACCGGGTTAGTGACTAAATTGTAAAATTTCAGAATTTAATGATTAAAGTATAATAATTGAAGGACTTATATGAAAAATGTGGTGTAGGATCAAATTTGAAAGAATGAGGAATAGAAGGACAAAATAGTCATTGACGAGGGAAATAATTTAATTATTATGGTTATATATGTTTCCACGTGGAGTGAAGAGAGAAATATATAAGCTTCTAGAGTTCTCTTCTTCTCTTCTTTTCTTCCAACGTGAAGACTCATTGCAAAGGTGAGGTTTCTCCTAAGTTGATTGTTAGTTGAAATTTAAGGTTGGTTTTGATCCTTAGATGATAATTAAGCTTAAGGAAAGCTTAATTTATTTTAAAATAACAAGATGAAGGGTGTATGAAGAATTAAAAATTAGGAGTTCTTGAATGAAATCTTAAAATAGAGTTCATATTTCAAATCGAAGGTTGAATTTGACTTGTCATCGACTTAATCGGAGTTCATATTTAAAATATTTTTCGCAGATAAATTATTAATAAAACATAAGAGGTGGTGGCGTAGTTGGCTAGCGTGTAGGTCTCATAGCTTGGTTAAGTTATCCTGAGATTGAGAGTACGAGCCTCTCTCTCACCCCATGTTTTTTGATCTAATTGTAGTTTTAGTCCTCCAACCATTATGAAATTTAAGATTAATCTTTTTGGCTTCCATTAGTTATAGTTTGGTAGAAATATTATTAACAGGAACCAAAATTAACAAGGGGTGGTGGCGTAGTTGGCTAGTGCGTAGGTCTTATATATTGGTTCAGTCATTTTGAGGTTGAGAGTTTGAGTTTTTTTTCATCCCATATTTTTTCTTTAATTGTAGTTCTAGTCCTTCAATCATTGTGAAATTTAAGATTTAATATCTTTTGGTAGACAAATTATTAACAGAAATTTAAAGCACAAGGGGTGGTGGCGCAGTTGGTTAGCGCATAGGTCTCATAGCTTTGTTAATTCTCCTGTGCTTAATGCAGAAACTTCGATTATATGAGGAATTGTTTGTAGAGGAGATTCGGAAATAGTATAGCAAACGTATTATTACACATGGTATGTATACACTCGGTAAGTATTCAAACAAACTATATATAAGGAGCAGTTGTTGATGAGAAACAGTGTAGATCTACATTTGTTCCATGAAATTATAAATAAACCGATATATATAATTCGATAGATAATTATAAAAAAAAAAGTTTTTACTTTCCATTTCAAAGTAAATTCGTGTTGCAGAAACTCGGTACTGACTCGCTCACTCGAACCCTAATCTTGTTTCTCATTCTTCATCTTAAATTATAAGAACAAATCCTTCTTTCTTCTTATTCATTTCATTCCATTTGGCACACTTTTAGCTGTCTTTGATTTTTCGAGATGTTGTTGGACATCTATGCCCTAGGTGAAGCTTTAGATCAAGCTCTTCAATGGATGTTTCCTTGCAGTTGATGCTGCTAATGTAATTCTTTTCCCGATTTATATTATTGTTGGCTGATGTCGTCATTGAATGCGAAGGACTATTTAACGTCGGATGCAGTGCCGGAATGTTTATCGATGTTGCCTTCGAGTTGAAAGAGGGATATGGTGAAATGGACCATGCATTCATAGGTGGAGACGAGGTGAACACACCATTAGGGTTATGGAATTGGTAGAGGAGGCACGAGCCTCCATTCGTGGTGAATTCTTGAGTCGGTATAAAGAGAGTCGACGCGGAATTAGTCGTGGTAGATGATGAGTTCGGGCCACCAGGCTGTACAACCTGGTGGAGCCGAGCTTTATCAAGGCAGTGAACATTCATGTAACCGCAACGCATTACTCGGCAAAAAGTGCAAGTATAAGACCTCGAAGGCCAAGTAGTCCCCAACGCATTACTCGTGTCCTCGGTGAAGGCCCTAACTTCCCATGAATCGTCGTCCTTTGGTTGCGCCTTAGGTTACCACATCCACGAGCCGGTGGTGGAGTTCGCGTCGGGCTGGTGGTGATGTTGGTTATGAGTTTGTTGAGATTGGACTAACTTTTGAAGTTGGGTCAATGAGAGAAGGCCGACCTCGGCAGCCACGGTGATAAACGCGACAGAAATATTTGCGGAAAGAATTGATGTTAAATATAGGGGGCAAATGGGGGATGGGGTTTGGGAATATAGAGAACAAAACCCTAACACCGGGCATATCACCCAAATGTTGTACCAAACATTTGGATTTTTGCAACTTCAATGTTAAATAAATGACTTAGTCCAGTTATTATTTCGACAATACTTTATAGTAATAAGCTTTTATTATTGTTATACTTTTGCTGAATGTTTTTCGTATATTAATTATTTGTGGGGCGTTTTCCAAAGTAATACTTTTTAAGAAATCATATGACTTTATAAACTCACTTCACTTATTGAAGTGAAACTCAGCATGAATTGATCATATCTTCGTAATCTGTCAATCTACGAGTAATTATAAGGATCTTACACATATTACCAGCTCAAATAATCATTATAAAACTCTTGAATAAAAAAAAGATGGAACTTCTCGTCTTCAACTATATTTATTCTACTTAGGGATGAATATAGGTCGAGTTGTGTCGGATTTTTGGTCCACCTAAGTCTGACTCGAGAACAATGACTCCACCACCCGAATGAACTGATACCTTCAATGGATCTACATATGATGAGGTTAAAATTTGACTCGAAAATAAAAATTGTTTCAAATTGTATTATTTATCCTAATCATATATCATATTTATTACATTATTTAAAATTTAATGATGAATATTGGTGGTACATATTATTATCAAGTTCAGTCAAATAAATTCTTTTTCTAAAAGTCAAATAAATATAATGATGATTGATAAAGTTGAAGCCCACAATTTTCAGCTTTGGCAGGTAAGAAAGTTTCCAATAAAATAGCACACGGTGTAGTTGATTAAATATGTAAATTATGATTAGGCAACAACTCAATAATAAAAATATTAAAAATTATTATACGACTGTTTATATCTTTAACGTTTAATTTTTTTGAAAAGGTGGTGGGTTACCGGTTGGTAAGCGATCAAAGGATGATGTAGGTTCTCAAGATTATTTTAGAGCAAGACCGATGCCATCTTATGCTCTGACTGTTAGTGCTGGCGATTCGACTGGTGCTTATGAGATACCTTTGTTCTCTTTCTATAAGAAGAGGCATCCTGGAGAGTGTTGGAGTAAGATTGGAGGGTGTTTCCGTCGTGGGTCTTGGAAGCACCATTTTAAGTAGGGGTGTATTCGGTTCGGTTAGGTTCGGTTTTTTATCAAAAATTAAACCGAATCGAAATAAACGGTTTTTCAATATTTAAACCGAAACCGAATAGTTAAAAAACCGAAAAAACTAAAACCGGTTTTATCGGTTCGGTTCGGTTTTTTTAACGGTTCGGGTTTTACGGTTCGGTTCGGTTTTTCGGTTTTTCATTAAAAAATCACTAGAAACTATAATTTTTTTTTTTACAAAAATTGCCTATTCGGTTCAATATGGAACAAATGGGTTCCATATGGAAAACCCGAACCGAACCGAATCAAAAAAAATGAAGCCTTTAAATCGAACCGTTTAAAGCCAAATCGAACCGAACCGAACCGTTTTACTCAATTCGTGTCGATTTTCCGATTTTCTCAGTTTCGTTGCTCAACCCTAATTTCAAGGATTGTCACTTGAGAGTATTTCTAGGGAGCACCATTTCGAGATCGCTATGTGGGGGCTGAGTATTTGGTAAAGTGTCCGGAGGATTTTCTGAATCTGAAACAAAATGATATGTCTGTGACCGAGTACGAGATAGGATTCCTGAGATGGTTCAAGTATGCTCCGGGATTGATTTTGAATGAGAAGAAAAAATTGTGATTTGTTCCTGAAACCACAGTTTTTGAAAATATGAAACCAAAGACGAATAGTATAAAAACCACGGTTTTCGGTTCGGTTTGAATTTATGGTTTTTTATTGTTCACTATTTTCGAACTCAACCTCTAAGAAAAACAAATTTAAAACTTTAATCAAGTGCAACTATATAAATTTAAATTTATAAAAAAATATTATTAGTTTTAATATTTTATTTATTTAACTTTATCTTATAATAAATTCAAAATGAATGTTTTTGAGTACTTATTTTCTTTTATTTTTTTAATTCGATTTAATTCGATTCAAATGATTTTCATATGAAAAAACTAAAATTAAACCGAATTAGATATTTATTTTTAAAAGCAAACCAAAATTAAACGCAAATTAAAAAAACGAACCAAACCAAATAGTTCAATTTGAATTAAATTTTTTCTTTTTTCGGTTTCATTGCTCAGCCTTATCTTTGTGTATGGAAAGAAATTATCGTTCAAAGACTTTCTCATTAAAACTAAATGTACGACTCGAGTTAATCTAAATTAATCAAGACGAAATTTTAAAACATGATATACAAGAAGAAAAGAAGGTAAACTACACCGGAGACCACAAAACTATGGCTAAAAGTCAATGTGACCACTGAACTATTTATTGTCTCAATCAGACCACCAAACTATTTAATTGATTCAATCAAACCACCTGCAGTTAATTTTTAACAGAGTTGGTGATGTGTTCATTAATAAAATTGACATACTTATATATTTGGTCTTTAATATTTACATATTCTATCAATTTTAGGGTTTTATTGGACAACGGGAAGTTTCGAATTTCAAGATTTGTTCGAAATATTTAATAACTTGATTTATAATAACGAGGTTCATTTTTTATTTGTTACTTTATGTGCCTCTTTATTATTTGCCGGCGCAGTTGCTAAATCTGCGCAATTTCCTCTTCATGTATGGTTACCTGATGCCATGGATCCGATCGCAACTTCGAATATGGAATTCAAAGGGATCAAATAGGAAATGATACTCTGAATCATAGAACTATAATGAAATATACACGTGTCATGTTCTAATTGGATAGTTAAATTTATTTAATTGAATTAAAATAGTGACTAAAATGATAGAATATGTAAATATTGAGGACCAAATATATAATTATGACAATCTTATTAATGGACACATCACCAACTCTATTAAAAATTAACAGCAGGTAATTTAATTGAATCAATTAAATAGTTTGATGGTCTGATTGAGACAATAAATAGTTCAGTTATCGTCAATGACAGGACTTTCCACAAGAAATACAAGTACAACAGATTAAGACTTTGGGCACCACACATTTTCATACATAACTCACTGTGTCACCATTGCAAATGGCAAAACCCCTGCCTCAAATTCAACTCATTTGAATGGACTATGGTCAATATTGGTGTCTTAATTACACCCTCATGCTATAATTAATGCAATAATCTTCAAATCAACAAACAATGAAATTCGGATACCATATTAAAAGGTATATATACGAGACAGATCCTTATATAGTCTTTTTTTTAAAAAAAAAATTATATAGATTTAAGATCGTTAAATGAGCAAAAACAAATGGATGAGATTAAAAGTAAAAAAATGTGAAGATATTTATTGAAAAAAACAATAAGTCAATCTTAATCATCTATTTTCACTCATCTAACGGTCTTAAATATGTGTAAAATTAAAAAGTTTTACAATGTGTAAGTAGATCATAACCATATATATATATATATATACATATTATATATAGATAGATAGAAACTGTTAATTTTATTAAAAATAAAAGATTTCTAAAATTATAATGAAAGTTTATAATTATAACTGTAACTTAAATTGGATATTTTTTTCCCAAAATTAGTAATAAGATAAAAAATCGTTTAAGATCGTATAAGGATCACATAAAAAATATTAAAAAAACTAACCAATATCATACCTATTTGTATACATATGATTTGGCCTAAAAATATAGAACTCAAATTTTGTCCAAATCTAATTATATTTATAAAGAACTCGTCAAATTATTTTAGTGGTCAAATATAATGATGTTCTTCTTAGAGATTTTGGGTTCGGACAGTCTTATATACAAGGTGTGTGTTATCAATTGGTTAAGAAAGTTCTGAATAGATACTACCTTATAATCACCTTAAACTCTTTAAAATTTATATTTATAAATAAATAATTTAAATTTATTGTTATTTAAAAATATTTTTTATGACAATAGAAAACTTTGATTTATTGGTTAAGAAGTTTGCTTAGTTTTTCAAATCAAACTTGGAAATTTTGAATGGTTTAGTTGGGAACTTGGGGAACCTTCGTTAATCTTTCTTCTGCTCTGTTGGTCAAATTTGGAAGATGTTCCCAGTAAAAGTAAATAATTATTTAGTTTTCATTTTATTTTTCTATTACTAAATTTATCATATTCACAGTTAAAAAATATATTTTTTATTTAAAACAATAAATTTATTGATTAACAACGATGTCTAATTCATACATCAATTAAATTAAATCGATCAATGAAGTGAATATTGATAATTAATTCAAAATTGTATTCATTAATAAAATGTTAATATAATAAATTAATAATAATTAATTTGATATATTTTCACACCTAAAGTTGTTTGGTATATTTTAATTAATTTGTATAATTTTATAAAATAAAATAAAAAAACAACACATGCATGTGATAAATGAATCCGTAGTTATTATTATTATTATTAAATTATTATTTTTTATCAAAATTAGGATTATAATAAATCCAATGACTACTTGGTCAGACAAGCATTGGAATTGGATATAGTTGGCACTTGGTTAGACTTTCATTCTTGAGGGGCTGGCATTGTGCAATTATAAAGTTTAATAATAATTAATGATTGATTAATTAATGATTAGCATTAGTATAATGTATATTGAACCCGAACCAACAAATCGAATTAGATTTCGTTTCAACTCTTGAGTTCGAACAATTGTATATGTAGGGTGTGTATCAAATTAGAAGTGTTTAATTTAGTTAAAATCAACATTTTGTTAAGTACATGTACCATATTGAAAGATTCACTAAAGATCATGAGTCATTTGTGAATTGTCTCTTTTATTTATAAAAAAAAAAGATTTGGGACAGCCAGTAGTAGAGAGGCACATAGCCGGATTTAAATCTGATTTGGATCGGATAAAAACCGATCCGATTTTTTCATCAAGTCAAAAAACTGATTTATAAAAAAATCGGTTTGGAGGGCCGGATGATGTAACCGGTTTCGGTTTGAAAAAACCAGTTTTTAATCATGTAAAAAATCTGGTCATCCAATTTTTTAAACCCCATACTAGATTTTTTTCCAGATAAAAAATCAGTTTTTTATCCGTTTTTTTCAAACCGGTTTTTAATCCGGTAAAAAATCTGATCGTCTAATTTTTTCTCAAACCGATTATACTATCCGATTAAAATATTCGATCCGATTAAAAAAATCTGTTTTTTCCAAATTCAATTTAAGATATTTTTTTACGTAAAATCGAATATTCGATTTTTTTTTTTTTTGTAGATCTCTAGTCAGTAGTGCGGGCAACTTGACGAAATAAATGGTAATTAATAAATCCAAATTGCTCCAAGTCAATCCAAAGCAAAGGAGCAGTGACGGCTAAGGAGGGCCATCCAAAGTGGGCCGTGCGTGGCGGAGGAGACGACAAGAATGGGACCCACGCGCCGCCCACTTGTGCCACTTGCCCCCAATGAAGTTTTAAATAAAACTTTCTTCTGTTTCCTCTATGACATCACTATTTAAACCAAACATTTCATTTAATAAGCACGATTACCTGGAATAATTATTATTTATTTTTTAAGATCTCGAATTTAAATAGATTATCAACATAGTGATGAAATATTTATTATTTAAATAATTAAAATATTTTAAATAAATATTATTTTATAATATTTCAAACAATTAAAGAATATTTTAATTATAATAATTATTTTATTAAAAAATTATTACAAATAAAATGATAAAATAATATTTTAATTATCATTTGCTCAAGAAAACGACAAGCCTTTGCTCCCACTTGGACAAATTTTATTTTTTAAAAAATCATATTCTAATTAGGGTAAAGTACATTTTAGTATCTAATTATTACTTTTATTCTGTTTTGGTCACTTAATTATTATTTTTTAAATCATACCTAAAGTTATATTTTAATTTCATTTTGGTCACTCGCATAGACAAACACATGATTTTATGTTAGGGAACAGGCTTGAACTTATACAATTTTAAGGAGAAAAACTTAAACTTATAAAATTCTATGGGGCGAAAATATATTTTCAATAAAAAGTACATAAAAATTAAAATATATGTTAATTTTAAATTTTTAGGGGGCGATCACCCCCACCCGCCCCTGCCTAGGTCCATACATGGCCACCCGCCGTTAAAAAATTAACATAACTGTTAACGTGATATTATTTTAAAAAATTCAATGATGATGTGATATTAATTTTATAGTTACATGCTAGTATCACTGTTAAACTTTTAACAGATGACTAAATGAAACCAAAACGCAATGCTATATATAATTTTGAAATGAAAATAATTGAATGATCAAAATAAAATAAAAATGATAATTGAAATACTAAACGTATAGTTTACCTATTAATATACTATCCATTTATCCCTAAATTAGATAACAACATATCATTTAAAATATTTACTAATCATTTTTTATAATAAATAAGAGATAATGTTGAAATTAACCTTCAATATTTATTTAATTAGTTATTTTAGCCCTTATTGTGTTTTCTTAAAGTGTATTAACCCTTAATGTTTTAGTTTTTGATTAAGATGATCTATACTGGAAGAAAATCGTTAGTTGACTAATAGTCAGCGGATGTTGTTCATGTGTTATTTTTATATGTGTTAAATTATTGACATTTCACATGTCATGTCGTCTAAAGTTATGAGACATCATGTGTTACATCGTCTTAAGTGATGATGTGAGATCTTGGGGCAGACATAAAATTTTATGTTAGAGGAACAAATTTATAAAATTTCAGGAGACGAAAATATATTATCAATAAAAATATAAAATAAAAACCTGAATTATATGATAATTTCAAATTTTAAGAGGACAACTGCCCCATCCAGTCCCCTTTGCTCTATCCTTAGTGACACCTCACCTAAGATTAAGTGTGTTCAAAAACAACGAATTTGATTGACCCAACCCATAGACCTGCAAACCTAAACTTAAACTTAAAAATATCGGGTAATTTTCTAAAATAAATTGCTCGGTCGGGTCGGGTACCTGACCTGTGATTTTTTCTTTTCGGGTAATTGGGTCGGGTTTGGACTGAATTTTTTTTGTAACCGAGTACTTGACCCGATCCAGTAGTTTTAATATATATATATATATATAGTTTAAATTATATTTTAATTTTAGATTCCTTGAAATTTTTACTTTAAAATTAAATTTAAATCTTTAAATTTTCTTAGATTTGTATTATGTTCTTTTATGTTTTAGATTTTTAATGAAGTATTTATTAATTTTTCAAAATAAGATTAGGAAAAAAATCACTATAAATATCAATATTTTATTTTAAAAATAAACTTTAATTATATATATATATATATATATATATTCTTATTAAAAATTAACTTCAAATCATTAATTTTTGTACGGGGATTATATATTATAAATTATAAAATTTTCTTCTTTTTTATTTAAATTTAAAATAAAAAATATGAACATTGTATCCGCATCCTGAACATGTGGATACTCAAATTTAACGGATCGATAAATAAACTACTTAATATTTCGAGTACAAAAAATACGAGCACCAAAATTTAAATATCCTTACCTAAAATTATGACATGACATTTGACGTGTCAATTATTAAACACATATAAATATCATAATAATAAAATCTATTAATAGTTAATCAACTAATAATTTTTATTTAACCATATAAAATGATACGAAATATAAGAAAATCACAAATAAGAACCAAACCGTTATTCCACGCTCCAAGGGATGAGAGTGGGATTGGCTTCCACCACCTTTCACTTCTGCAAAACATATTAAATTTTTTTTCCTGGTTCAACTAGTTGTACCTTGTTCATATTATTTAAACCTTTAGGCTGTAAAATGATTGAGCTTTTTTAGACTTTGTCCCCTCTTCGCCCCTTGTTTCTTTCCCTTTTCGTTGCAGACCAATCGATCTCCTCCTCGTCGTCTTCTTCATCTTTGTTTTTAATTTCTTTCAATAAACAAAACTCCTTTTATCCTTAACATTATCTATTCCAACGCCATTTTTAATTCTTTTTTTTACTGTTGATTTGATTCCCTTGGATGCTCGCATGGCCGGTCTCGATTTAGGCACAGCTTCTCGCTACGTTCCACACCAGCTTCAAAGACCGGACCTTCATAACAATCACCAGCCCGTATCGTAACTCGGGAGAGTGCAAACACGCTCCGAGCTCACATTCTGGAAGTTTCGAGCGGCTGCGATGTTTTCGACTGCGTTGCGAGCTACGCTCGGAGAAGGCAGAGAGGGATATGTATACTGAGTGGGAGTGGTACGGTGACCAACGTGAGCATTAGGCAACCGGCTGCGGCCGGAGCTGTTGTTACTCTTCATGGAAGATTCGAGATATTATCGCTTTCGGGTTCGTTTTTGCCGCCGCCGGCGCCTCCGGGAGCCACCAGTTTGGCGATCTTTTTGGCTGGAGGACAAGGGCAAGTTGTAGGTGGAAGCGTGGTTGGGGAACTGATGGCGGCGGGACCGGTTATGCTCATAGCGTCGTCATTTACGAATGTGGCCTATGAGAGACTCCCTTTGGAAGATGATGATATGCAAGGCGGCGGTGACGGAGATGACGGTGAAAATAACATGTTTTCTGGTGCCGGAGCCGGTCCGGGTGGGTTGCCTTTCTTCAATTTGCCACTCCCTATGCCATCTAATGTCCAATTACCCATTGAAGCATGGCAAGGAAACTAGTTGGTACTTAGGCCAATGCTTTATTTTAGGTTTTTTTTTTCTCTTTTAATTTCTTCTTTGCTTTTCGGATTTTCAAAACTCTCTCTCTATAAGAATGGTTTGATTAAGAATGAAATAATATTTGTCTAATATCCTAATTTGAAAGAAATTTGAAATTTTGTATTAATTTCAAAAGTATAACAAAATATAAAGATTTGACGCTTTAAGATTACATAATGAGAGGATGAAATAAAAGATAATGATTTTAAAATTTTAATTTTTAAGAAAATATGACGTGAAAAATAAATATGATGTGTACTTATTTAATTGGTTAAAGATTATAGATAAAGAGTCTAATACATCTCATTAGACATTCCATGATTTTTTAAGATAAATAACAATCAAAATCTTTATTCAAAGATTTTACTTGCATCCCATCTTGAAGAAAGGAATTGTTTAGAGTTGGGATAAATTTCAGGGTCCATATGAACTGCAACATCTTCCATCCTTTGGGTATGAAATAACCTGCAAAATAAATTTCAAGCTACTCTTTTAAATCTTGCGACATTGGTGTGACCATGGCAATAGCAGAGGAGGATGTTCCTATTGTTAAAAAAGATGGAGCAAAACTACAGAGAGGTGATACGGCTGTTCCAAGTCAGCTGAAGGAGAATATCTCAAGCAATTCGAATCAAGATTTATTGGCAGGCCTGAAGGATCAGGCTAGTCGGTCACAATGAAACTATTAAGCTGGAATGTCCGGGGTTTGGGGCAACCTCGTCGTCTATGTTTAGCTTGGCGTGACTCTTGTACGGTGGCATTGAGATCTTTCTCGCGCTCACGTATAGATGTTATAGTGACAGATCTGTCGAATGGTGATGTTTGGCATTGCACGGGCTTTTATGGTGCTCCGGAAGAACCCAGACGCAGAGAATCATGGAATTTGCTTCGTCATTTAAATGATTCCCCAAATCTATGAAGCACGGGGTCGACACCTTTACCCCTTTTCAAGTACCTGATAGAGGACGGCAGGAGAATGATTGGGGTATGTACCGGAGACGTGCCACGGTGGCGGGATACGGTTGAATGGATTCGGGGACTTTCGAGACTTACTTGGGGACGTTTCGAGGATGGCATGTGACTATCACATGCGTTCCCAGGCGGCCGATTTGACCCAACGGTGGCGGATGAAAGCTAAAGCTTTCGGGTTTAATATCAACACAGCCCTACGTCAACGGTGAGGGTTGGGGTCACAACGTGGAGGCTTTTGGAAGATGACCGGCGACTTACTTACCCTAGATCAGTAAGGACGGAGGCGACGAGAGGAGATGAGGACGAGCAGAGTTCATGAATCTACAAAGGAAGAAGGAAAATAAACAGGGGAGGCGCTAGTGAATTGTTAAAATAAAGCCATGGTGGATTTGTGGATTATAATAAAACTGGCATATTCGTAGAGCTAGTACTCAAATATTCTAAAGTTTATGAAATAGGTTTCATTCTTTACAATAATTACAATTTAGTCACGAAAATAATATAGGTATTTAGGCTAAAATTCCAAAATCTTAGGGTTTCAAATTTTCTATGAAGTATTAACTTTATGAATTTATTTTCTAATATTGTGATTTACTTATGGATTTTAGTTTCTAATTTTCTGTGAAGTATTATTTTATTTATGATTTTTTGTCTATTTATAATTTAAAATTTTTTATATGACGTACTCTTTCCGTCGTCGTACCCTGTAAATTTAGGAATTATCATTTTCTGTCCCCATCCCCGTATCTGTTTCAATGCTACATGGCCCCAATTCTTCCGTGGCTAGTTATCGAAGATTTCAACAAAATTCTTTATTTTTATGAGGAGGGAGGATTGGTGCGCAACAAACGACAAATGGATTAATTTCATTATGCTTTGGTGGACTGCAGATTGGTCGATGCTGGTTTCAAAGGACCTTGATATACCTGGGAGAGAGGTCGAAGTGCGAACAACGTAGTTCGAGAAAGGCTAGATAGAGGTGTTGTTAATTCAGTCTGGAATTATCGTTTTCCGTATTATTGTATCTCTCATTTGCAACATTCTTTTTCGGATCATTGTCCACTGCTGCTAGAGTTGGATAGCGGTCAAAAAGTACATAGACGCTGGCACTTTAAATTTGAGGCTGCATGGCTTTTGGATGACTCTTGTGAGGGAGAGGCTCGAAGAATATGGGAGGAGGCGATCATCACAGTCCCTGAGAGGCTGAACCAGGTAAGCCACGGCTTTGATAGATGGATCAAGAGGATATGTGTAATAAAAAAATTGACAAAAGGAATTACGCAAAAAGCTTGGGACCCTTCATAGAGAAGAAGACGGAATCGTATTCAGCATCTTAAAACTGATGCTAAAAATGTTATAGAAGAGGAATTGTGCACGAAGGAAGTCGCACGTGGATATTTTATAAATTTATTCACTTCTGGTTCGTCCGGGGTCGACCAGTGAATATTAGATGGGGTAGCACCAAAAATAACACCCCAGATGAACTCGTCCTTGCTAAAATAATTTACGAGGTAGGAAATGAATCGATCTGTGAAGTCTTTGAGCCCTTTGAGAGCTTAAGGAGAAGATGGATTGGGTGCATTCTTTTATCAGCAATTCTGATATGTACTGGGCACTGATGTTGCAGATTACTATATTAGACTTACGCAGGGACCCTTTGATTTTGGCGAGATTAATCGAACACACATCGTGTTAATTCCTAAAGTGGATCAACTGATTAGTCTAAGTTAGTTCCGCCCAATACGCTTGTGCAATGTAATTTACAAGATAGTCTGCAAGATGATTGTGCTCCGTTTCCAGGAAGTGCTTGATGTTTGTGTGGATGAGACGCAAACTGCATTCATAAAGGGTAGGTTGATTATTGATAATATAATTACTGCCTATGAATTGTTACATTCCTTTGTCGAAAGAGGGAGGGCCGAAAAGGATATTTTGCTTATGATAGAGTGGAATGGTACTTCGTATGGGAGATTACGTCTCGATTGGGATTTTTCGCCGCTCTAGATTGATCTTATTAACATGTGTGTGAGCTCTGTTTCTTACTCGGTCATTGTAAATGGATTGGAGGGTTCGGGTTTTTTTTTCTTTCCAGGGGTCTTCATCAGGGTGATCCATTAAGCCCATACTTATTTCTGTTGGTAGAGCACAAAACTCTTAATCTTGGGGTCGTGGGATCGAGTCCCACGGTGGTCAATTCATAATTCGGAGGTCTCCCACGGAAGCTGCTCTCAACTTGATGTTGGGGGCAGCCTACTATCATAACTCCCCCTTACCTCATTACATATGAGAATAAGATTCAGCTAATTATTTATTTCTATTGTGTGGAGGGTCGATCCACTGAAAAATATTAGAATCTCTGATGTGATTTATGTTGATTTCGTTCAGGAAGCTATAACAAAACAAAAATAAAGAAAAGGGGTAGTAGGCAAATTTAATATGAAGTAAACAAAGTAAAATAAAATAAATAATTGAATAAAATAATGAATTAAAATAAAACAGTAAATAATTTGGAAAAAATTATGATGAGAGAAATTGCCTCGAGCTAGCTTTGTTTCGATTTCATCGATCATAGAAATGTATTTTTGATCTGAGATTCATGTCGGTTACAGTCTATAAGGCCCAACACATTGTAACTTGTTTTTTTCTCGTGTAACTGTTATTTCCAAGTCTATCTTTAAAAGAAGATTTTTGAGTGGATTAATCACATCTATTGCCGTTAAAACATTCATATTAAAATTTGGAAAGGCCCAACTCAGATATTATGTCGTCGAAAATCAATTTCAATCTCGTTTTCCCTTAGTCAAACCTATTTTTTAAAACTCTTATTACTTCTCAAACCTGCATTTTGGTTCGTTAATATCTTGTTCGACATAAAATTCTCATATCCTCCATTCAGTCATGACCTTCCCACACATATATTTGAAACTTAGTAACATCTCCAACTTACACAGAAATATAACAACAATTAAAACACCTAAAATTCAAAAGGAAGCACGTGAATTGCTGACGAAAAGAGAAGAAATGAGGTGAAAATTTATTTTATTCCTCTTTACCTCCTACAAATGAACTCTTCTTGTTTGTTCAAACAGATAAAGTTTACATTTTTATTCAATTCTTTAAAACAATCAGTCACCGCCCCAAGCCACCATGACCGGGAGTTTGAGGGTAATAAATCCGATAACTCGGAGGAAGCGTGACGCCCAAAGTAGCACAAAACCTTTTAACTCGGTTACCGAACTCAGGAGTGAATCTTCCATGATTGAACATCCAATTCTTGCACTTGTAGTCCAGGCCCCGAATCGCTTCGCAGCACTCGAACCCCATATTTATCTTGTTTTTAAACAAGGACGCATAAAGATGAAGCGCGCAGCCATCGGCCTTGTTGATTTCAGCCCAACACACACTCGGGTCCGGCAAGTATCTCTCTTCCCATCCCACAACCGAGAAAACAGGGGTGATGGCTATGGCGAATGACATTGCCATGAAGACCAAAAGGTGCTGTTGGAAAGAACCCATTGCAGAAGAACAAGAACTGGTTGGTTTCTTTGGAATGGATTTGATGAATTTATATGACTTCTTAAATGTTCAAAAGAGCTGCTTTTGGTAATGGTGGTATGTTACGAAGTTCGTCAGTAAATGAGTTTACGGTAAGGTAAAAGAAGTTTCGTATTGATTGAAGTTTTCATCTTTAGGGTTAATTCATCAAGCGTCCTCAAACTTTTCAATTAAATTCATAAAGTATTAATATCGTATGAATGAAGTCTTTCCATCAACTTACCTATTAGATATAAAGTTAGCTTAAGTTTGCGAATGGAGCAAACTGGGTTGGGAGGGTATTCCTTGTCTCTGCAGTACCCGATTTGAATTAATCGGTCAATAGATCAGATACCAATGATTAATTAAAAAAATGCTCTTAATTTTTATCGGTATAGTCGTTCTTTTATCATGTCGAATTCAAAATGACTGTTAAGATGACAAAAAAGTGATGGATACAGTGATGATATTTTAGGGACTCGACTAGAATGTTTTAAAGTTCATAACCAAATTAAAATTCAAGCCATAGTTTTGACAGTTCGGGGCAATTAACCCAAGAGAGTGTTGGTCATTCAAATGCCATTAATAAAGTAACCAATGTAAGTTGTTGTCTTGCACAATTATTCCATGGAAAGAAATTCTATGTGTAAATTGAACTAGAGTCACCCAACTATATGTAAGGTTTTTTTTTTGTAACTCAAATATAAAAGTTTCTCCTTTTTTTTTCATCTAATTAATCGATTTTTCCCTGGGCTGAAAATGGGCGTTTGCTACTCAAAAGTTGAACAACTCTAAAGCCCGAGTGGACTCAGGCCAGTACTGGGCTATATTTCTTTTGACAACACAACTAATTGGAAGTACAAATTTTTGTTTCCTTGGGGTTTTCAGCGAGTTCTCTGATCTGTTGAAGAAAATGGCAACAGGAGGAAGAGGAGGCCGAGCTGTTACGGGCACAAATAGCAGAGAAGGAACAGCAAAATCAACAGTGACTGAACAGATTTCACAGGCCGTACAATCCACCTCTAATCTCATCCATCTCATGCAACAGTCGTCTCCTTCTCGGGTACTAGCATAACTTATCAAAGATAACATTTTCATTCTGTTTCTGTTTGTGAATTTTAAGAGCTCCATCAAATTATCTTCTTCCCAATGACACGAGCGCACAAAAGAAGAAAAAAAATGAAACTTTTGGTTTTGGTTTCATGGCTTGAGTTGTGAGCTTAGGGATGACTCTTAGTTGTGGATGAAACATGAAGGTTCTTATTTTTGGGTTGGGTTTTGTTAGATTGATGCTGTAAGAATTATGACTTTGATGTGTTGTGTTTGCACTTTGCAAACAAAATCTGATCTTGATTTGTTAGTTGTTTATATATATATATGTTGCAAACTCGGTTAAGAACTCTTGAAACGCTTGCTTAAATGTGATTGTTGATGTGCCCGTGCCGCTTGATTTTGTCTTTCGACTTTGTTTATTTAGTAATATGTTTGATTACTTTGTATCTACAGACACAATTGTTGAAGCTTCCCAAAAATCTTTTGGCCAAAACTCCTACAATAAAAAATACAGGGCAGGTGTGCGGTTCCTCCATATAGGAGTAAAGAGATATAGGTGTATACATAATATCAATTGCAAAACTTGAAATTTGATATCGATCTTCCCTGTTTTCGTCAAATGCAGATGTTAGAGCTGATGCCTAGGGCTATTTCATCACTTGATGCCCATATTGACAATGGATTACAAAGGTTGAAATAATGTGCATCAATACTATTTAAAGTTACTCCAGTTTAGTGCGGTATATATGTTATAGAGCACCATTAACTTAGCCATATTACATATAAGGAGGTTGTTTATGTTGTGTTGCAGTTGGAGATTACAGTCCCCCGGAATTGATCACATTTATAAAAGTTCTGTAGTTTAATTTAGAAATAACAAACTTTCTGAAAAATGTATAGGAGATGTTTCACAAAACAGTATTTAAATCCTAATTATTTAAGTAGACATTTGTTAATGCCACTCAATGAAGAAGCCACTTAATTTGGTAAATAGATCCATATATCTCAATCAACTATACCGTAAGTTCATTCTAGTTTTCACATTTTGCAGTGTTCCACATCTGAAAACGGTAATTCAGTTACTTGAAAATATGGAAAGCTGCCAGCTGAGTTCTCTGTCTCAAGCACAAGGGGTATAGCCTCTCTCTGTCTCTTGCATTTTGCAGTTGTCGTTTGAACGTATATAGCTTAGTAATTGCTTGTAATTGCTCGAGGTTGGTTCACCACCCTAATCTGCTTTAAAAACTGCGAGTTTTCAGTTTCTTTTCTCTCTTGAATCCAATTTTTCCCAGGAATCTCAGCAGGCAAATCAACAGCCCGAGGTTGGTTCACCACCCTAAGTTCATTGGCATACTATTTTCTCGGCCATTAGTTTCTTTAATCATCGTCAAACCTTGTTGTTCATAGCTGAGAAAGATTCTATCTGTAACTTCTCTCAACCAAGTTAGAGCAGTGTACAATTATTCTGGAGAACATGTTCTTTGTACATCAAATGTCATAATATTTCTCATTTTGCTGTCTGTATACATTGAATATGATAGAAAATAGTTCCTGTATCTGTTCTGGTTTTTCTCCCAAAGATGGCAAACAAATTTCTTCTACAGGTTTTATTGATGGCTGCATAAACAAGCGATGATACTCTCTCGTTCTTGTTTTCAATCTTGGCTTTGTTAAATAAAGTATGCTTCAGTTTCTTAATTTTTATATAAGAAAATGTAACTCATAAACAAAGGCCTGCTCATTATGGCACAACAATAACTGCTTCCTATTAGGAAAAAGAGCCTCAAGCAGAGCCATCAAGACGTTTGTTTTCTTGATAACTCTTTGAATCTTAAGGTTGATTACCTGGTTTACACTAAAGCTCGAAGTCTCCATTTTCATCAAAGAAAATCTCTGGATGGACAGCAGCTGTGCTGACATTGAGAGCCCTTTGCAACTTCCGATGGTCCAAGACTTCAACTTCGACTAAAAACATTGAACTGACTGGTCGATGATCCGAAAGTCTTATTTCTGCCCGTTGGTAGCAAAGTTGTTTGATGCCTATTCCTGACCAGAGTATACGATCACACCTACCAAGGTAAGAGTACACAGAACTTTATGAGCTATCAGTTAACACATTGCCAAGTATATGGGTTTTGAGAAACATTTTTCTGAAACTTGAATATTAGGTTTTCGTGCTAAGTTGCCGTACTGGCTTGCGAATGTTGGACACCGGTATCTGTCCAACACAAGGATGTTCTGTGTTCACTTTTTCTAAGCTTTTTCATGTATGTGGAGGGTTCTTGGAGTGTTACATCTCCATACCCATGTTCAGATATATGTCAGTTGACAGGGATACCTTGAGAAACTTGTACTTACCATGCCGGAGATCTCTTCTTCTCCCCTTCCTTAGGGATCACACTGACATATCTATCGGAATGTATTTCATACTTGTAGGTAGGAGGAAAATCTGTGACCCCTTCTTTCCATCCATCGAAAACGTGCCCACCGCACAGTTTTTTATGAAGCTGTGGCACAGAACCAAAGCTTTTAACTTCATTTGTTATCACAAGTCGAGTCCAGTAACTAGGTTATTGTGTGATACTGACCTGATCATTGTTGAGTAGTTCTTCCCATCGCTTTTGAGCGACAAGCTTTCTCACCTTAGCATCCGACATGTTGAGATGATAGTTCAGATCCCCAAACCAAAATACCTGACTGTTTACAGAGGCCAACATCAACATACATTCATGGTTCAGGTTGAATATATTGATCATATAATGATAAGAAAATTGGTTGACATTTTACTTACTCGTGAGATGGGATTGTTTGCGATTGATCTGTATTGACGACAGTTGAGAAACGGGTTCGTCGTATAATTTCGTACACATCAGAGTTGCGTCTTTGTTCAGCTCCATCTTTATGACCAGATGTCAAATGCGAACACACAAAGCACAGCCTGGATTGGAAAAGATTCATGCTAACAGAAACAGATCCCTACAAAAGCAAGTCCACAAGGCATTCACTGATAATGAAGCCAACTTTAGATTGCAAGAGATCATAATACAGAGGCATAACTTTCAAGATGGATAATACATAGGCATAGCTTTCAAGATGGATAATACATAGGCATAGCTTTCAAGATGGTGGAACCGAGCGGCTGTTTAACGGGTACCGAAGACATCCGAAAAGCATAATCCATTGCTAGAACAGCGGGAAAGTGATTACCTTGTTTCCCAGGTAACCCATAAGACCAATACCAACAGGAGAGACTTTCAAATTGCCAACATGTTTCCTCAGCCTCTTTCGCACCCACAGATATGTAGATTCCAACCATCTGCTTGCTCACTATTCGCACGTACTTCGACCTTGACATCGCCCTATCATTATCATCTTCCTCTACTGCTGCTTCCACGAAACTATCATCAGATATTGCAGAGAAAACCCGAACTTGTTGGTTTTCATTTTCAGGCCACACTATCCCGGTTTCATACTCAAAGCCATATGTTCTCTTCTGCTGTAAATTTTGGCGAACTTCATTTGCAGTCTCCAAATACTCCAATGGCAGACCAGGTGTCTCATCGGTGGATACATTTGCAACTGAACAAGGAGGTGGGGCACTATAGCATCTATGCTTGCTTTCAGGCTCCAAAGCTCGGTTCAGAGTTCTTCGAATGATTGCCTCCCAGTTAGGAATCGGCCTGTTATCCTTGGCTCCCAGTACATTTCCGGCATTCAAAGGGACTACCTCCTGGAAACTGCGGGTATAATATTAGTGTCAGATATAGATATGTTTTATACACGGGTATAAGATCAGACAGGGAAAGGAAGTACCAACCCGATAACGTAAATATCTGCCGGCTCTTCCATGCAAAGCCAGTCATCGATCTGAAGATCATCACAAGGAAGTCTTCCAGCAACATTCCAAGTGCCTATTGTCACCCTTTAGGCAACCATAATATGTTTCAAATAAGAAATTTAGAAACAGCTACACCTTAGAAGGCTTACACATTTTAAGCATAAGCATATTGCAGGCAAACCTCACATCCTTTGTGTTCATGCACTGTACGTGCAGAGTTTCCGACTTTCCCCTCCGGTGTCTTAACCATTGACCCATAAACGGCGAATCTGAAGGATGAAACATCGAAACCAGAGAAAGAAAAAACACCAACTTAAACTAACCACAGATGAAGAAAGTAAATATTACCTGAAATTTGGCTGCTGCAGTCTTGGTTTTGCAACGGGCTATGGTTCTGCTCCTCATCACCATTCAATCTTGAATCTTTAACAGAGAAAGCTAGTGGAAATTGCAGAAAAAGGCAAAGAGTGTAAGGAAACATGTGCTGTTGAATATGATATGATAATGTGTTTTATAAATACCATCATCTTCACTTTCGGTTTCGGTTTCGACCTCATCTTCGCTAAAATCGTACACCTTTGGCTTTATGTTCAACCATTTCTTCATCACGATGGATGGCCAAAAGGCCTGAAATTCGAAAACAAATTGAACAAGTTCATTATTAAAGCATTGCAGTTTAGATAAAAGCAAAATAGCAAACAGAGCTTGCCTCGGAACGCTTTCCACTCCTAGTCTTCATAGTCTCTGGTAGCAAAATATGGGAAAAATAAGGCTTTAACAAACTGGAAAGTTTTGTTCTAAGACAGTCGCAAACACTGATGTGGACAAGAAACTGTAAGTGTCACAAAAGAATAACGACAAAGCACAAAGAAAAATGGTTTATGAAATATATATATACACACACATTTTAGCTGTGGTATAACATGCTAATGTGTATCATATAAAGGAAAGCTTTTGATTATGCAAGAAAATATATAATATTAGATATTTTACTATTTAACTGTTAACCTAATGGGACCACTACGCACTATGTGTGAAGGGAACTTTTCGATAATACCATGCCGAAAATAAGAAGAATAATTAAACAGGAAAGAAAGGGCAGAGAGAATAATCTTGTAATTTCTTCATTTTATTTTATTCTTAATTTATTTCACATTGTGATGAGAAAATACATGATATGATACAATAATATGCTAATTACATGAATAAATGTGTGAGGAATTATGCTTAAGGGTCTCAGAGTTAAGTGATTCCATTACTGCTGGAAAACATGTTAAGCCAGCTCAACTTCTAATCAAATGGTAATTAAATGATAAATTCTAACTTTTAATTTGTTAATTTATTATCAGATCTTTCTGTAAAAGTATCTATTCTTCTGTTTTTCTAATAATATAAACTTTAAACTTTAGCATCTTCAAAACCCCGAGTTATAAATGTCAAAATTCAAACCACGAACAAACAAAATTCGAGTCCAAGTAAATAAGAATAGTATTGTTGTACAAAGATGCCACTGCCAACTTCAAAGCATATCAAAGCTTTCATTCTCCTCCATTGCTTTCTTTTTCATGGTGATCACAATCACAATATCATAAAGCAGATGGAATATATATATATATATATATATATATATATATATATATATATATTCATATTAGCTTGCAAGCACATGAACTGTACTTATATATACCTCATTAAAATCTACCATTTCAAAGCATCCCATCACTAGCAAAGCATATTGATATCTCGTATCGATACTTATTTTGCAATATATATATATATATAACATGAGAAGGAACAGATAAGAAAAAGGCGGAGTTGTATATGGTCGGGATTCAACTCATTGCCAAACCTTGAATGTAGCAGTCAAGTTTTACGCACAAAATGGTTATGCATTTTCTAAACACACATGTTCTATAAAGAAATCAATGAGTAGGGAACACATAAATTAAGATTGTCATCTGAAAAATCTGAAGCTGTCGCTCGACCGTCAATGCAATAGCATTTGGAAGACAACCGGATGATTATCACATAATGGTGCACCGGCTGCTTTCTTCTGCAGGTTGAGGGGCTGCCTGCTGGTACCTGTTTGAGTTCATAGGGTTGTATGTGAACTCGGACGTATCCAGCCCGTACTGATATACATCCAGTTAAAAACAACGTTAGAGAAACAAATTAGGAACAAGGTTAAGAGAAAAATGATGAGACAAAGTGATATATTAAGGGGACCAAAATGCAGGAATCGAAGGGAACGGAAGGTGATATTCGGGTATCTATCACATCAGAGTGCTATTGGTCAAATAATATAGCAGCCGGTGGCTGCTTGAATTTTCAAAGGTGTGTTTTAAAATTCAAAGTTAGGTAGTTCATATTTTTGAATTTAAGCAAGGGTTAATTAATTTTAGTCATTAGACTTTAGGATATTTTCATTGATTAGTCCCTAAGTTTCAACTATAAATATCATAGCTCATTTAGCTTGAAAATTATCCCAAAATCCCAAATCATTTATTTCTCCCAATACTAGAGAGTTTCTTGTGAGTAGTGAGTGTTTTGTAAACACCTGTAAATTTTCTATCTTAGTAAAAGATCTACAGCAGTCCGGAGACTTAAGTAAAATTGGCTGAACTCCGTTATCAATTTCGGGTATTATTTTTCCGCTTTTATTTTGCATTCTCACTAATCTGGTTATAGGGAAATTACTCGTACTCGGTTTATTTTCCCAACAACTGGTATCAGAGCTTTTGGGTTGTGAATTTTGTCAATTTTTTGCGAGATTACTATTTATTACCATTCACGTGAATAGTAAATTTCGTGAATAGTAAAATTTTGTCGGCGATACGAATTTGTCGACGGAGGTGTTATAATACACGGTGGTTCGCACAAATTGTCAGAAACGATCCGAAGAAGCCAGATTCGAGTGGGAGCGATGGCTACAAACGAAGGGAAGGTGAAAATTGAAAAGTTCGATGGTGCGGATTTTGACTTTTGGAAGATGCATATCGAAGATTTTCTGTATCAGAAAAATCTATATCAACCCCTCTCAGGAAAGCAACCTGAGGGCATGAAGAATGAAGACTGAGCTCTTCTCGACCGACAAGCCCTCGGAGTTATCCGACTGACGTTGTCCCGAAATGTTGCTTTCAACATAGCAAAGGAAAAGATCACGGCGGGTCTTATGGTGGCTCTCTCCAGTATGTATGAGAAGACATCGGCCTCAAACAAAGTTCATTTGATGAGGCGATTATTCAATTTGCGGATGACGGAAGGGGCATCAGTGGCTCAACACCTGAATGAACTCAACATAATCACAACCCAATTGAGTTCCGTGGAAATTCAATTCGATGATGAAGTTCGAGCTTTAATTCTCTTATCATCTCTATCAGACAGTTGAAATGTTACTGTTACAGCAGTTAGCAGCTCGTCGGGAAATAGTAAATTGAAATTCGGCAATGTTCGGGATCTGGTACTGAGCGAAGAAATTCGACGGAGAGAATCGGGTAAAGTATCAACCTCCTCAGCCTTGCACACGGAGTCCAGAGGGAGAACTTCAGAAAGAAATTCAAATCGTGGCAGATCGAAATTCAGACGGGGAAAATCAAGAACGGGAAAAAAAGATTTTACCTGTTATAATTGTGGCAAGAAGGGTCACTTTAAAAGGGATTGCCGAGCACTGAAGATAGATACTGGCGCACATGAATCTGCAAACATGACAGAGGAGACAGGTGATGTCATGATTCTAAGCGTCAACAGTCCGATTGAATCATGGATCTTGGATTCATGGGCATCTTTCCACTCCACCCCATGCCGAGAAATCATGGAGAACTATGTCAGTGGTGATTTTGGGAAGGTTTATCTAGCCGATGATGAAACCTTGAAGATCGTCGGAAAAGGAGACATCCGATTAAAGTTGCCAGACCACCTGGACGCTGAAAGGAGTGAGACATATTCCTGACCTCAAAAGAAATTTGATTTCTGTAGGACAACTTGATGGTGAAGGATTTAGCACAACCTTTTCAGGTTGTGGATGGAAGATTACTAAAGGAGCACTCGTCATTGCTCGTGGTAAGAAAACTGGTACTCTCTATATAACCTCAAATTTAGAGAATATTATTGCAGTAGCAGATACTGATGGAAAATCAAACCTATGGCACCAAAGGCTTGGCCATAAGAGCGAGAAAGAGATGAAGACACTTTTGTCAAAGGGGAAGTTGCCGGATCTAAAGAATGTAGATATCGGACTATACGAGGATTGCATCTTTGGCAAACAAAAGAAAGTCAGCTTTGTAAAGATTGGTAAGACACCCAAGGCTGAAAAGTTAGAGTTGGTTCATACTGATGTATGGGGACCATCTCCAGTTTCATCTCTTGCAGGCTCACTATATTATGTCACCTTCATCGATGATTCTACAAGGAAGGTGTGGGTTTATTTTCTGAAGAAGAAATCAGAATTCTTTGATACCTTCAGAAAATGGAAGGCCATGGTGGAAAATGAGACTGGTTTGAAAGTCAAGCGGCTGAGGTCTGAAAATGGAGGAGAGTACAGAAATAACAGATTCAGAGAATTTTGTGCAAGCAATGGGATCAAGATGGAGACAACAGTTCCCATGACACCACAGCAAAATGGCGTAGCAGAGCGCATGAATAGAACTCTGAATGAACGTGCCAGAAGCATGAGGATACATGCCGGATTGCCCAAATTTATATGGGCTGAAGCTATCAACACTGCAGCTTACCTGATCAACCATGGGCCTTCAGTTCCTTTGGATGGCAGAATACCAGAGGAAGTTTGGAGCAAGAAAGAAATATACCTTTCACACTTAAGAGTGTTTGGTTGTATTTCTTATGTACACATAGATTTTGCTGAAAGAAGTAAACTTGATGCCAAGTCCAAAAAATGTGCCTTTGTTGGTTATGGCGGTGATGAGTTCGGTTACCGGTTTTGGGACTATGAAAATCGAAAGATCATCAAAAGCAGAGATGTCATTTTCAATGAGAATGTGATGTACAAAGACAGGTCAACTGTAGAATCAAGTAGCTCAAATACCAAAGCTGAAACAAAGGAATTTGCTGAGTTCAAGGAGATTTCTAGAAATGATGTTCAGATCAATCCTGAAGCAGTTCAAGAAGAACCAGGCACACCGGAATTAAGATGCTCCTCCAAAATTCCTAAACCAACCCAACGGTATTCTCCTTCTTTGCACTACTCGTTGCTGACTGACAATGGTGAACCAGAGTGCTATGATGAAGCAGTACAGGTGGAGGATTCAGTCAAGTGGGAGTCTTCAATGAAAGATGAGATGGACTCGCTTATATCAAATCAGACGTGGGAATTAGCTGAATTACCACCAGGCAAGAGAGCGCTCCATAACAAGTGGATTTACAGGATCAAAGAAGAGCATGATGGGAGCAAACGCTATAAAGTAAGATTGGTTGTCAAAGGTTTTCAACAAAAAGAAGGTATTGACTACAATGAAATTTTCTCTCCAGTCGTGAAGCTGTCTACAATCAAACTGGTATTGAAAATTGTAGCTGCAGAGAATTTACATCTTGAGCAGTTAGATATAAAGACAACTTTCCTTCATGGTGATTTGGAGGAAGAAATCTATATGAAGCAGCCAGAAGGCTTCATAGAGGCATGCAAGAAAAACCTGGTATGCAGGTTGAAGAAGAGCTTGTATGGTTTAAAACAAGCTCCAAGACAGTGGTACAAGAAGTTCGATAGTTTCATGGGTAGCAGTGGTTTTACCAGATGCCAAGCAGATCATTGTTGCTACATCAAGAGGTTCGACAACATCTTCATTATTTTATTATTGTACGTTGATGACATGCTCGTTGCAGGCTCAGACATGCAAGAAATTATAAACTTGAAGTAAAAATTGTCGAAGCAGTTTGCTATGAAGGATCTGGGCGCTGCAAAGCAGATTCTTGGGATGAGGATCAAGAGAGACACAAAGTCGGGGACTTTGATGTTATCACAGGCTGAGTACATCAACAAAGTACTCTCCAGGTTCAACATGCAAGATGCTAAACCAGTAAGTACACCTTTAGGAGTTCATTTCAGACTCTCCAAAGAATAGTCACCAAAGACGGAGGAAGAACGAGCACACATGGTGAAGGTGCCGTATGCCTCAGCAATTGAAAGTCTTATGTATGTCATGGTTTGTACTAGACCAGATATTGCTCATCCAGTGGGAGCTGTTAGCATGTACATGAATAATCCAGGCAAGCTACACTGGGAAGCAGACAAATGGATCCTCAGATATCTGCGGGATACCACAAACAAAGCACTTTGTTTCAAAGGTGGAGATACGATACTGATAGGCTATGTAGATGCTGACTTAGCCGGAAATGTCGACATCAGAAGAAGCACTACAGGGTATGTCTATACTCTTGGAGGAACTGCAGTGAGTTGGGTTTCTCAACTACAGAAGATAGTTGCTCTCTCCACAACTAAAGCAGAATATGTCGATGTTACGGAAGCCAGCAAGGAGATGGTTTGGCTCCAAAGTTTCTTGGAAGAGTTAGGCAAGAAACAAGAAAATAATGTCTTGTATTGTGACAGTCAAAGTGTTATCCATCTAGCGAAGAATCCGTCTTTTCATTCCAGAACGAAGCATATACAATTCAGATATCATTTTATCCGGTCTCTTCTGGAAGATGGGATTTTGAAACTTGAAAAGATTAGTGGAGCTCAAAATCCGGCAGACATGTTGACAAAGACGGTGACCACGGATAAACTGAAGTTGTGTTCAGCTTCAGTTGGCATGCTAGGATAACAAGACCAGAAATGATGTTGCATTGATCGAGGTGTGAAGACAGATTAAAATCAGTCTTCAAGTGGGAGATTATTGGTCAAATATTATAGCAACCGGTGGCTGCTTGAATTTTCAAAGGGGGTGCTTTAAATTTCAAAGTTAGGCAGCCCATATTTTTGAATTTAAGCAAGGGTTAATTATTTTTAGTCATTAGACTTTAGGGTATTTTCAAAGATTAGTCCTTAAGTTTCAACTATAAATACCCTAGCTCATTTAGCTTGAAAATCATCCCAAAATCCCAAATCATTTCTTTCTCCCAATACTAGAGAGTTTCTTGTGAGTAGTGAGTGTTTTGTAAACACCTGTAAATTTTCTATCTTAGTAAAAGATCTGCAGCAGTTCGGAGACGTAAGCAAAATTGGTTGAACTCCGTTATCAATTTCGAGTATTATTTTTCCGCTTTTATTTTGCATTTTCACTAATCTGGTTATATGGAAATTACTCGTACTCGGTTTATTTCCTAACAAGTGCACTACTACAGACAATACGAATTATAGTAAAATCTAAGCACTTGGGCATTTAAGGTAAGAAACATCAGCACGTTTACTTCGTAAACATGATTCGATGTCGAGATTTGAAGCCTCAAGAAAATCAAGGTAAGATGTAAGAATTGGTCTAAGGAAAGATTTACTACACGGGACAGCTATATGTTTATATCAAAGAAAAGGAGTTTATGGGAAAGAAATCACCTTTTCCCTCATACGTGCACTCCAAGCATCAGTTCTGCCGGGCCGCTGATCAAGGCCGCCAGCAACAGGTACACCTGTAACCGGAACAGGTTGCCTGTTCATCAAAGGCTGTCTGATTTGTTGCCTTGGTGCAATGAACTCATTATCACGGTCATAATCAGCAGGTACATTGGCGGCCCTAACCATAAGGGCTAACAAGAAAATAAGAACCTGCAAGTTGAAGTTGATTTTGCCCTCAAGTCAGATAAAGCTCAGAGAAATTATACCAGTCCAGATGTTATTCTAACAGAGAAATCAATGTTGGTTTTTAGTTGATTCAAGGCCTTATTTTAATGCAATAAATATCAGAATCCATCCATTAATGTCTGAGCCATTATTATCCAACAGAAAAACAAAGTCATGAAACACATCATCATCTAAACTACTATGTGATATGCAATCATCTTAATCATGATCCATACTGAAAATAAACGAACATGCTACATTCCCAAATAACCATAGTTGAAGAAGATTCACTTCCCTTCAGTACTGTTAATTGAATGGTTTTCACTTCCCTATTGAAATTCATATGTTCACTAACAAGTAAAATGCACCGGAAAATCAGCATAAGATTCTTCGGCAATACACATGACCATGAGAACAACAAATGGTTGACATGTTATGAACTGGAAAATATAACATGCGATAGAAGACGACACACAAATTGCATTTGAAGTACCGGTATATAACAAGTAGCATGATCCTACCAGAGAGCATCTGGGGATCTTGGGCAGATTCCATTCAAGCTAGTATGACTCAAATTCAGGCACACCAAGGAAAGTTATATAGTACATATAGATATTTAACTAAAGAAATGAGGAATATCACAAGTGCTACATGAAAACGTTTTTAATTCAACTAATGCAAGAATTACTAACTGATAAAGAAATAAGTAACAATACCAACATTCAAACAACAAGCAATGGACAAAAGCTAACACCATCCATTTGGAAGATGATGAAAAATATCTGATGAAACCGACAAGACAATGAGCATGGGGCGACCAAGCTCTATCAAATTCTGATCACTACCCACAGGCGACAAAAGCGAGGCAACATCAGCAGCTCTTTTGAACTCAACAAACAAGTAAATCCCATATCCAACCATTGCCAAACCAGCAACAGTCATCAAAAAGTTCAAGAGCTTCAAGAAAAAATTAGGGCTTTTTCGAAAATAAAATATTTTTAAGTTTTTTTAATAAATTTTAAAATTATCAGAATGTGACACATGTCAGTTAACGGACATTTTTATTGCGGTTAGAACCAAGGCACATAAAGTGATAACGTTTGTAACGTAAGACACCTAAAAGTGGTAATGCTTATAACGTTACACAATCAAAAAATAGTTTAAACGCCTATTAAAAAAACGATATACCTTAAACACTTACTTTGGTATTAAGCCAAATATAAACGTCAAATTTTACCCAAACTTGTTCATATTTGTATTTTTTTTTAGAATATGATTGTTAATAATTATATTTGTAAATGAATAATCAAGCTCATTTCGGCCTATCTAAATTTTTAATTTATAAAAATTTGTTCTGTTAACTTTAGTATTTAATGGTTTTATATTTTCTTTTATTAAGTTTACCTTTTACTATGTTATACACAAACAATCTAATATATTTTTTTTATTACGCTAAGGTGATTATAAAATAGTAGATGTTATAAGTAGTTTTAACCATTTGATAATAAACGTTCAATTCTTCTTGTAATTATTGGTGCTCGACTCCATGACTTTTAGAATCAACAATAATTTCTTTAACCACTAAGATAATTTAATTCGTACAACCTAATACGTTTTATATGATATAAATCATGCAATATAAACTTAAATGTTACAATCCAAGCCCGTCTCATATTCTAAAACAGGTTTAATCTTTTGTCCAAGTCTATTTTTTTTAGGCCTAATATTTTGTTCTCACGGAGGACATTTCATAATTCGGAGGTCTCCTACGAAAGCTGCTCTCAATCTGATGTTGGAGACAACATACTATCTTACCTCCTCTTACCCCATTATATATGGGAACAAGGGTAAACTAAAAAAAATTTGTTCAAACTTAGGGTTTAATATAAACTAGGTTCCTTGGGAGGGATGCCCGTATTGTCATGTCACCTTAAACAACAACATGCAGGTATCTGGGAGACACACGTGGGACTACATCCTTGCTCCACGTGTATAAATAAGCTTCTGTCTAGACTGCCTTTGTGGTTTGAGCTAGAAATGGAACCAGATCTTTTACTGCCCCACAAGTCATCTGTTATATCCACGTATCAAACAACAAACCCAACACTTTTTATTACGTGTCGCTCTATAACAGCTGTCGAAACTTTGAAATCTAAAATTTTAATTTAGTTGTTTATTTTATTATGAATTTTCATATTAAAATTTTATTTGTTTTCTATCTGTATGAAAAAATTCAAGAAATTAATATATATATATATATTCATTCTAAAAAATATATTTTTAGATTCGTTATTACGTGGAAATAACCCTGAAAATATCTATCGATAAAAGATGGGGAAAGAATAATATTTGGAAGCAACAAAACAAGAAAGAATCGAATTCGAAAGGCAATAATTTGATGAGAATTAGGTTTTAGCCCACTGGTTCCGATCAACTTAAATCTGGGGGCACACACAGATTCAAGGAATCAAAGAACAAAAATGTAGAAATTTTCTATGGCGTCTCCATCAATGTGTCCCACTATGCTATATTATACTCCATGCCATAAAAGAAATTAAAAGTAAGATGCTTTCTTTTTCTTCTGGTCTTTGTTTTTACCAAATCAATGGGTGAATTCTCATTTTTCTTTTGTGGATTTACCCATTACATGACAAATGCGACACGAATACTACTTTGTTGAAAATGAAAAGCCAGTCAAAGTAAGGGTAAATTACGCTTTTGGTAACTAAATTATCGGTTTTATTCCGTTTTAATACTTAAACTTTCAGTTTTTTCATAATCATACATAAAATTTAATTTTTGCTTCGCCTATTCAAAATTTAACGTGTTTTTTTTAAAAGCATGCATTATAATGGAATCAATTGATAGTTTAGATGCTAAAAGTGTTAAGTTTTAACATTGGGGTTTTAAAATGAAACAAAAAGTAAACATTAGGTTATGATTTTAAAAAAATTGAAAATTTAAGTACTAAATCAGACTAAAACTAGTAGTTTAGGTATTAAATATGTTGTTTACCCTAAAAGTAGTAATAATTTGGGTAAATTACGCATTTAGTACCTAAACTATTAGTTTTTGTCCTTTTTAATACCTAAACTTTCAAATTTTCAAAATCATACATAACATTTAGTTTTTGTATCATTTTAGTACCTCAACGTTAAAAACTTAACACGTTGCAGTTTATGTGATTAAGTTACATTATTCATCACTCAACTATCTACTCACTCCTATTTTGACACTAAAGTTTAAAAAATTTCAATTTAGCCACTCAATTTCACATTGATCATATTCTAATCACTCTAATAAATTTTATTAATAATCTCTATGACATGATTTTTTTTAATTTTATTATTATATAATTAAGAAAATAAATTTGAAAGTTATAGTGATTAAATTAGGAATAATTTGAAAGTTAAATAATAAATTAAAAACATAAACTTTAGTGATCAAAATAGGAGTGAGAAGATAATTTAGTGGTGAATGATGCAATTTACCCATAAAAAATGTCATGTGCAAATCACCCGCCCGGTAAGTTTTAAAGGCTGAGGTACTAAATCGAAACAAAAACTAAATATTAGATAAGGATTTGAAAAATTAAAAAATTAGATACTATAATAAATCAAAACTAAAATTTAGATACCAAGCGGATAATTTATCCTAATAGTTTTAAACGAAACTTAAACGTGTCCGTCGGTAATATTATTTTTATTCAACATGTGCTGCATGTAAAGTGTAAGAGCATTGTTCAAATTTTCATATTTCAAAGGTAAAAAAGGGAAGCACACAGTCGACAGCATTGCTGCACAAAGCTGCAAAATTATAAACTATTCTTTTGGTTTTTTATTTAATTTTTTTAATATGAATCGGCTACTATACTTAGGCCATGTGAAATGAACCGACCCAATGAATGTTGCAAAAAGTCATTACAATGTCATTAAGACGTAATTAATTAAACACTTGTGATTAGAATCTAATCTCTTTTTTTCCACTTTATGTATTTAAAAATACAATATGTTGAATGATTTTATTCTATTATAAAATCTCTCGTGCCATCATGCACTATCATGATTCATGATTCGGCCCATGTGAGGTTTCATTAATAATTCAGGAATAGGATAGGCATGGGTCGGGTTTTTGGTCTACTCAACCCGAAAACGAGAGGGCCTCCACTTCCGACCTGATCAAAATAAAGTTTCACTCGACCCGACTCGAATATATGATATAAAAATCCGACCCAACCCGAAATAATAAAAAAATATTTTTATTCAATAAAAACAGTGACTTAATTGAAAAAAATTATATACATATGGTTATTATTGTAATTATCCCTAAATATATAGGGTAAATTATATATTTTTTTCGAATCAAGTCTTTTTCACCTTAAACCCGAACCCGAACACCACATAAAAAAAACTTGAACCGAACCAAATTTTTGTTTTAAAAAATCCCGACCCAATTAGGTCGGATCAAATCGAAATCCGTCATATTCGGGTTATATGTCCTATGACAAATATGCAAATTGAACTTTGATAAATATTAAAATATTTATTTATCATTAAAATAATCAATAATATATTAGTTGGATGATGATAAAAATGGGTTGGTTCTGAATGCAATCTCGGCCGTCTACTCGCTGAAGCAAAACAAGATCGGGTCATAGAAGATTGCTTTTACTTAACAGTGTGGAGGAACGTATTGAGAGGTTTTTGTCGTGTTATGAGGTGCCACGTGCGAGGAGGAAGGAGAGGGATCTGGTGAGGTGGTGAGAAGGACGAAGACACACGTGTACAGTATGAAATCACCGGCAGGTGAGCCCAGTGGTGGGCTGCCCTAGATTGTCGGAGCAGCGGCAGCTCTGGTTGGGGAAACAATAAAACCTCGGAAAAAGTGCACAGGTTTTAAAGTAACAACCACGTCATGCAGTCACCCACCCATGCATCTTCTACTCCTTTTCCTTAATAATATTTTATTAATTTCTAATACATCAGAAATATTTAATCCGATTGTTGCCCATTTTTTTAATTTTAATTTAAGTATAGAATTATAATACGTGAGAATGATTATTGATCGATGTTTAAAATAAGAATAAATTATAAGTTGTTCATTTATATTTTCAAACTCGATTAGAGTATTTATAATTAACTTCGATGCATGTGTCAGCATAATGTTATAATCAAAGATAAACATAGTTTTATGTTAGAGGAGATAAACATAAATATATAAAATCTCAATGGAAAAAAAGCGTATTTTCAATAGAAAAATTATCATAAATTTTTAAAAATTTATGATAATTTTAAGTTTTTAGGGAACGATTGACCCACCCACCCCTTCGATCTATCTCTGATTATAATATTATCATACATAAATATAAATAATTAAAGATTAAATCTTTATATTTCATTAATATTTTCCAGTAAAAATAGTCTTAATTCGTCAGCATATTTGAACAAAATAAAAACTTAATATAAAAATAAATATACAAAATAAAAAGCAAAGGCGAGTGACGTAAAGTGAAACGCCAAAGGAGCAATCATAACCGTTCGATTTCCTCTCTTCTTCCTTTTTTTTACTGAAAAAAAAAACAAAGGATTCATAGACCAGAAAGAGTTAGGAAGGGTTCTTTTGGGAGGGAAGTTTCTAATTACTCGTACTTGCATTTTTGGCGCGTGAGGTGTACCATCATACTATAATGATTTTATTTGTATAAAGAGAAAGAAGATTAGTGATTAAACTGCACCTTTTTAAAATTAAAGACATTTTTTCCGGACTTGGGAGGAAGTGGAACAAGACGAATTTTTATTGACTTTAATTAATTAGATTGTAATGATATTTATAGATATTATTTTAACGGCAATAACTGAATTTATGAAAATTAATTTACAAATTTTGTATGCTATAATTAATACTAATAAATAATGTTTCTTCTATCTCCATTAAAATGTTATAATTTTTATCAAAGTTTGTAAACTTTAATTTAAAATATTTACATTCAAAATAAATTTAAAATAACTTAATTAACTTCGTTTATTAAAACTATCTCGTTTAGTATTTTAAAAATATAATTATCAACATTTTAAAATGAAAATAAAATGGTAATTGCTCATTTTAGGCAATTTTGTTTAAAAAAATACTCAAAAATTTTAAAAAAATATCAAGTTAACACCGTTTCTCTAAATTTTACCAAAGTATACCCTTTCTAATATAAAGAGGGAGAGGCATGTTTCACGAACAATGTAATTTACTACATATTAGTTCTACAAAATAAAGAACTTAAGAGTGTTAGTTTATATAGGCATGGTAGGGTGTTTAGCTTGTATTTGCTAACAATGTGGGATAAAAATTAAAATGAGTTTTCATACATTTTTCTCATGTAATATTTATTTTATTTATTCTGACTTAATACATTAAGTTAGAGTTTTTTTATTTTTACAATTTAAATATAAATTGGATTTTATATCAATTAAAATTAAATATTTTTATATGTTAAAATATTAAAATATTAATTTTTGTTTTGCTTCTATGATCAATCGATGTAAACATCAACAACTCCAAATTATATCATTTTCTCCCCCAACAACTTGTAGATCATTCGACCAAACTATCAGCAGATGGAAGATCTATCTAAAGAACAATTTGTATTTTATATTTTATGTTTGAGCTTTTAATAAAGACAAAGCTAATATTAATGGACATGCTAGACAACAACAACATGTTATTCGGACATAGTTCTTCATTTGTATGTTTATCTATATGTGTTTCTATTTGTATGTCAATCTCATTCGAACCGTTCTTAATTTTTGTTCCCATTATTCCTTAACTACATAAAACAATGAAAATTTGTCCAAATAAAAAAAAATAAGATGACATTGGATTTTTATATTTTACATGTTCATATTAAAGAACAAATATATGTTTATTTATAGTATTTACTAAAATTTCATGAACCAACCTACCTAAGTAGTTAAGGAATCTATGTTATCCTTTAGGCTTACGAGTTTGATATGTAGGTTAACCTATGTATTTTAGATTATATATATATATATATTTTTATATAGAATTCAGTTTGTTGGGAAAAACTGATATAATTCAGAGTTGTTGATGTTTACATCGATCGATCATAAAAAAAAATAAAAAAATAAAAATTAAATATTTTAACATATAAAAAAATTTAATTTTAATTTGTATAAACTCTAATTTATATTTAAATAGTACAAATAAAAAACTCCAACTTAATGTATTAAGTAAAAAATAAAGAAAATAAATATTACATTAGAAAAATGTAGCATAACTCATTTTAACTTTTATCCCACGTTGTTAGAAAATATACGTTAAACACTCTATCAATCCATGCCTATATAAACTAACACCCTTATACTCTTTATCTTGCGGAACTAATATGTGCTAAATTATATTATTAGTCCCTATAATTTTATTTTTAAAGTGTATTTTATTAAATATGCTGTAGAAATTTGGGGAAAGTTTTCTCAATTGGCCCGCCGCCAAGGCACATTTTGTGAAAGGCATCTCTCTATCTCTCTCTATATGAGAAAGAGTTTTACTTTGGTAAAATTTGAAAAAACAATGCTAACTTAGTATTTTTTTTAAAATTTTGGGTATTTTTAAATAAAATTGCCATTTTTAGTACAACTACTGGTACTGGTCCACCAAAATGTACGGTGGTCGTTTTATGTTTACGCGCTAATGCACGAGCGTGGGCCTTTCCCTCTGTTATTAAACATTAGAATATGGACACTGGAATTTGTGGGGACTTTTTCGTTTTTTAATGATTTATTATTATTAGTCCCCGAAAACGAGACTTGTGCTTTTCTTCTTTTTCACCCCTCTTCTTTCCCATAATCACGAAATTGCCATTCCCTTACAAAATTTTTCACCACTTAATATATGAAAAACAAAATTAAAATAGTTTAAAATGATTAAAACATAATATTTATTTAAATATTTTTAATTTGTTAATATCTCACTATATAAGCATAAATATTTAAATTGAACTTTATTACTATACTTTTATATTTTTAAACTCATATTTTAATAAAGATTTAATTTGCATTTTTTACAATACTTTTAAAATTTATTTCTATTATACTTTTAAAATTATTTTTTCATAAATTGCGTAACTTGCCTAAATACTTTTAACCAACTTAATTTTTTCTATTAAAAAAAAGTGAGTTCCGAATAAAGGGCAAAAATGTCAATGGCAATCTAGAAATGATTTGGGACTAGACAGATGCATGCATTTCGAGCCAATAGATTAAACGACACGGATTCTTGAAAACCTCCGGTTGTTTTTTTATTTAAGTTAAGAGTTTGTTCAAAAAAATTTAAGAGTTAATATCAAAATATATCCTAAACTATTATTCTAAATCGATCCCTGTATTTTTTAGCATTCCAATTTCATACCTAAACTATGACCCTCATTTTAAATTAATCTCTAAATTTTTTAATATTTCAAATCCATCCCCAAAAATATAACCCTCCTAAATTAATTTCCGAACTTTTGAACACTCTAATAGCATCCATATAATCATTTAAAAGTTTAAGAATTAATATAGAATGAATGCCATAGATTGAAAATGAAGAATATTCAAAACAATTCGGAACCAATTTAGAATAAAAGTTATAGTTTGGGAATGAAATTGGAATATCAAAAGGTTATGGACCAGTTTAGAATGCAGTCGTAGCTTAGGGACCTTTTATTGCAATTAACTATTGATTTAATTGTTTATTTTTCTCAAACAAAGAAGAAAGCTTTGATCTTTCCCCCACTAGGCCACTATAAAATCAAACCCACACTCCACTTGTTCACCCACTCATCTTCCTCGTGTTCTCATCTCTTTCCCTTCAAAGAACCCTAAAAATCAAACCTTTTTTCCCCAGAAAAAGAATAACAAAAATGGACTCATCTGTACGTTCAAGGAGGCGTTGTTTCATCGAAGAAGATCAAGGATTGGCTTCCCTTGCAGTGATGGAGGCCGGGTACTCGGGCACCCATTACCAAACCCATAACCAAAATGGGTTTTTTCAAAGACCTCTATTTTACTCGAGGAGAACTAGTTTGAGGAATCTATCATCATATTCTTCTTCATGTTCATCTCCAAGGCCTGCTAGATTTGAAGATTACAATCAACCCCATTTCTTGGATGCTTGTTTCCATTGCAAGAAGCCTCTTGGGGGTAACAAAGACATCTTCATGTACAGGTAAATTTTTATATTAAAAAAGCGAATAATTTTGCCTAAAGATCTGATGAATCTTCCATTAGTTTGGAGCCAAAGGTTGGATTTTTGGGGGGTTTAAATTTGTTATTGATTGGTGTTTTCTTTTTCTGTTGCAGAGGGGATATGCCTTTTTGCAGTGAAGAGTGTAGACAAGAACAGATAGACGTTGATGAAGCTAAGGAGAAAAGAAAGAGCCTTTCATCTTCAATGAAAGCTTCGAGGAAGAAGGATCAAAGGAAAGCTACAACTCCTCCGACAAAAGCTCAGAACTACCCGATCCGACCAGGCACTGTTGCAGCTGCCTAAATAAACATCTCACAAAGGAAATAAAAAAGAACAGAAAAAACATATATCTACCCTTGTATAAACTCTTGAAAAAGAAAGGCAAAAGAACAAAGGACATGGAGATCCATGAAGGAAAAGGGCCAAGGAGAGAGACAGGAAGAACAAGAAAGCTTGTTTGGGTTTTTCCCCCCTGGGGTTTTTGAATCCCAAACATACATGATGCTGAGATTTAACTGTGAATGTTATATGGTATGATATGAGACTGTGAGGTAGTCTTTTAGATCTACTCTATGATATTGCTCTCCCTTTTGGGGTGTTTTTGGTGGTTAATTAGAATTGATATTGTTCAATCGTCATCTTCTTGTTAACAAGTGCTAGTGAATCAAATTGAAGAAGTTATGGTTTCTTCGTGGACTATTTTTGTACTAGTTTTCTTTTGTTGAAAGAGAAATGAACATGAATGGAACTTGCTGGAAAAGATGTGTTCTTTTTGTTTTCATAATTATAGCTTTATTTTTGTTATTTGCACTTTCTAAGTTAATTCATTTAGGCTTTGGGTTTCTATGTCAAGTCCAGAGAAAGGTGAAGGTAGAATTTTTAGGTGGATTTTTTTTTATCTTCTCCATGGTGATAAAAGGCTTTCATCATCATCAGTTCTCCATTGTTTGGTCTTAAATGCAAATTAATTTTGGTGAACCTTTAGGTTTAGGTTTAGGCTTAGGCTTTTCCTTCGTGAGATACAAAGGAGGCTGCTTTTTATAGAAGCTAATACACATAGTCCACATACAACAGTAGAAATTAAACACCTAAATCAGTTCATTTCATATAATATTTTCACCCATAGTAGAAAGGTTTGATATGATGAACTAAATATAGCAATTCATTACAAAAATTGTCGAGAAACTACAATACATGAAATACAGTCAGAGAATTCCGAGGAGCATTAGGAACTCTGTTCCTGATATGCCTCCTCAAAGTTTTGCCAAGTTCCAACCCTTAAGAAAAGTTGTTCAGTCCCAGCTTCTTGACATCGAAGCTTCGTATAGCTGAATTTGCCATAATCCAGAACAAAGTTTAGTTGTTAGGACATTCATCTAGATACTCGGTTAAAATCGATGCATCCAAATTACAAAGTAATTCCACTATCAACTCTTGGAGTATAACTTTACGAGCAAAGACATTCAGCAATTGCTAGATAAAAGATGCAGTAAGTTGGAGATTCAACTGAGACAGGATCAGGACAGTAAAATTCAAAGGTAAAGCAGCCAATCAAACCACTTATGTTGCAAAAAGGGAATGAAACCAGAAGTTCCCGATTAAGAGTTAATAGTTAGAACAAAGTACCAATGTGCTAAAGAAATAATACGTGCATCTGTCGCCTAAAATGCAAAACTTATATACAGTATCAGACACACCAAGTAGTATCCTCTCATAAAGTTTTTTGGAATAATCTGGAAACGAAAGAGGTAGTTGGTTTTTACATATATTCTCCGACTGTTCGCTTTCTTTAAGTACCAGACCCACTTTCATACATCAGTATGAAGATATGACCTTCTGAAAACATGGAAAAGCACAGATAAAATTGGACCGATATCAGACACATACCCGAGTCCAAGTAACAACTGTTTTTATAGAAGCAGAAGTTATAGTAGATCCTACCTTCATGGCAATTTCCTTCAATCTTCGACATAATGCCATATACTGAGGAAAAACTGGCTAATTTACTCAAAACTCGAGTCTCTCTGAATTAGGCTAAGTAGGTCATCCCGAGTTTTCCCAGGTACTAGGGTGCCTTGGTAATTCTTAGCACTGGGACCTTTTTATGCTCTCTCTTAATAAGAAGCAACACAGAGTGCCAACCAACATTGTCTTATAAATCTTTATAGCAATTGCTAAAGCAGTCAAAACCATGGCTCTCTGATACTCTGAGAATTCTTTTTATCATGAGAAACAGATACATGTTAAATCCCTAGGAAAGAATCCAATTTTCCTCTAACTAAACACCTTCTTACAAATAAGAATTAAGAGAAAAAGAATAAGCTGTCCATTAATTTGTCTATTTCATCACTCAAAATTTGAACTTTACTTATTCTGATAACTGATTATATCACATTTGAAAGAATTTCCACAAAGTCAGAGAACTAGAAGAAGAAAAAAAAGTACCGATCAAGAGTGCGGGGGAGATGACGAAGAAGGGGAGTCTGAATTATCACGGCGAAGACTCTCGATCAAGTCTCCCAGTTCTTTACGAGCTGATTCTCTGCCGAACATGAATCCGTACCTGAATCAATGATTTTGAAAAAAAAGGAATAAAATCAAACTTTGAAAGATGAAGATTCTAGAGCAAGTGAAAAATGTGGAGGGAGCCAATTGTTACCAGCAAGAAACGGCGGAGAAAACACCGGCGGTGGCAACCATGTGAATAAGAGTGAACGATTTTTCCATATTTTTTCCCGGTAACTAAAGTACGAAAGGAAGTGAATTAGGTCGCCGATTGGGTTTTATGATTTTATGGCGACTTGCCATAACTGGGCTTATGATAATTTCATCACAGCCCAAAAGGCCTTAGCCTAATGTTTTGGGTATAAAATCCGAACCAGAAAGCCCTAACCCCTCGTTGTTGATTCCCCTCGAAGAGCCGCTCCTCACCTTCCGAACCAGACAGACACAGATCCTCCAAACACCACCACAATGGTATTCTCTTCTTTCTCGATTTGAAAGCATCTATATTTTTTCAATCATCTATTTGCGTGTTTGTTTCCCGAGAAATGTTATCCTAAAAAATCTTGTTAATTGTGAAATAGCAATGTTGAAGTAAGACATTATGTCATTGAATAGCTTTGAAATGAGATATCATTCCATTTTTATAGCTAAATATCAATTGTGTTATAGCAATGTTGAAACAAAAGGAAATGAGATTGGGAGATTGACAATCATATTGCAATTCTGAGGTTAAAAAAGTTGATGGGTTATTCATATTACAATTTCTCTTATTCTTGATCTGTAGTTACTAATTTCTTCATTTATTTTGAATTAGAATCTAAAGGCTAAAAATGCTAGAGTATTAATTTGATATCTACTGGGTTTGATTCATTGATTTGTTCATGATGTTTCTTAGTTTGATTCATTAACCCTGTGCTCTTGGCTTTTGGTGCAGACAAAGAGAACGAAGAAGGCCGGAATTGTTGGCAAATATGGTATGTTCTTCATCAAGTGTTGCTTTGTAGTATTTAAGAGAAAATTACCCCTGGAATGATTCAAAACTGTACGAAAGATCGGTATTCAATAGCCATTTGAATGTTGGACATTATTACCTTTCTGATTTCTATCTAAATTGCTTGAAGTTGTTCACCATTATAGCTTATGAAATGATTCTAAATAAAATTTAATTCTAGTGTTTTGATTACTGAAGTTCCTTTTCTGATTCCTCGGTATGTTTTTGCCTCGTTATGAAGGTACTCGTTATGGTGCCAGTTTGAGGAAGCAAATAAAGAAGATGGAGGTCAGTCAACACAGCAAGTACTTCTGTGAGTTCTGTGGAAAGGTATAACACTTTTGATTATCTTCATGATCCTTTTTCCGAGTAGCAAGGCTTATGTTCATGTCATTGCTCGTCTTATGATATCCTTGTTTATATATATATATGATTTGCATCAATTTGTTCCAACAATCTCTGCTGCTTACAGTATGCAGTAAAGAGAAAGGCCGTCGGAATCTGGGGCTGCAAGGATTGTGGGAAAGTTAAAGCCGGCGGTGCTTATACTATGAAGTAAGTGCATATCTACAGTATGCATACCTAAGCTTCTCATTTCAATATCATTTATTTCTATGTCCATGTAATTGACAATGCACTTTGCTTGTTATTTTACAGCACCGCCAGTGCCGTTACGGTGAGGAGTACTATTAGGAGGCTGAGGGAGCAAACTGAGAGCTGAGCTACCACCAACGGAGTATCGACTTTGGTATGATGTTTTTTTTTTTTGCTTGTTTTGGCTGCAACCAAATTGAGACATATTATTGAAAGTAATGTGTTATGTACTTGATTCTCAATTTTGTGTCTTTAACTCTGGTGTTGGAACTTTATTTATATTGAAATATTCAGTACTTTGTTTTCTACTAGTCTTGCTACTTTTGTATCGAATTATTATTATTATTTTATTAGTATGAGATGATTATAAGATAATAAATGTTCGGATTAAGTCGGTCTTTATTAACCCTTTTTGTCGAGTGAACTGCAATGCTCTGCATATTTCGCTACAATGAAATAATTGGGTATTGCTCGAAAAACATATTTTGGTACCTGCCTTCTTCCTCCATGCCTACTTTCATTGATTTTAAGGGGTAAATTATGCATTTAATACATAAACTACTATCAGTTTTGCTCCGTTTTAGTACTTAATTTTTTATTTTTTTTCTAAAATATATCTAAAATTTATTTTTTGTTTATTTTAGTATTCTGTTTAAAATTTAAAATTAGGTTTTGAAAACAATTGAAAATTTAGGTAATAAAATGGATTAAAAATGATATTTTAGGTATTAAATGCGTTAAATTTTTAACGGTGAGGTACTAAAATAAAACAAAAACTAAATGTTACGTTTGGTTTTGAAAGAAAAAAAATGAAAGTTAGGTATTAAAACAGATTAAAATTGATTGTTTATGTACTAAATGTGTAGTTTACCCATTTTTAAGTTCTTTGATAGTCAACTAACCAATATTTTTGAGTTATTGTTGTTGCAAACAAAACAAACATGAGACAGGTATCAATATGTCATTAGAGAATCATTGTCGCTATTATTGCAAATAAAACCAGTGAAACCATCCAAAGAAGACATCCACATAGATACACGTACATACACTCATCTAAATACTCAAAAACCTGAAGCAAAATCCATGACACACGTCACTATTATTGATGATAATGAAAGATACACATACAAACCGGAAGAGGCAGGAGTTTTAGCTCCTACTAAACCTGTTGCTATGGGTTCCCATAATACTGCTGTAACACAAGATCAAGCTCTACATGCAAATGATCATGTGAGTGAACCTTTTAACCTAAAGGATCACTTCCGTAGAGAATGAATGACTCCGTTTCAAAACGAAGAGTGTTTTGGCTCTTACAACCTGAGACCAAATATCGGGTTGCAAGCATTTGATGGGAATAACTCCCAAGGTTGGGTTTGAAAATGCCGGAAGTGTTTCTCGTTGTTCGCTATACCAGATCACGGGAAGTTAGAGATTGCCACTATGTACCTCGTTGGTAAGGCAGAAGCGTGGTTGTTGATGGGTGTCTCATGCAACCCCAACGAACTGCTTGGGCATAATTCTTTGTGGACATATGTCAGCGGTTTTGTGAGAGAACCTATGCTGATATTATTGAGGAATTTAATAAATTATGGCAGAAGAATTCAGTTAAATTTGATGGAAGAAGAGGAACATCAAGATTAGGTGGCAGAAACAGTGGAAGAACCGAGTGACATAGCTATTGACAATCCAGAAGGCGATCTCGAAATTTCAATCAATGCCTTAACGGGCAATATTGACCACAACACCTTGAGAATTGAAGGTTCAATCGGAGGCAAACCAGCAAATATTCTTGTGGTTAATGGAAGCACACAGCTTTGTAACATCTCCTTGGGCAAAAGAAGGGGTCGAAGTGATAGCTACCAATCCTTTAACTATCACAGTAGCTAACGGGGAGAAGATATATACACAGGCCAATGTGATTATATGATTTAACCACGTCGTAAATTGGTCCTAAGACTTCCAATCAATATTTAAAATCTATTTATTTGAGTCGGACTTTATGCAGTTCATTACACAGGATGTGAAAAATGGTTTGTTTCTGGTTTGATTAATGGACCGGCTTAGAACCCGACGGGTTTGGGTTATTTTGCTGACCCTGTACGCCAGTGATTGTTTTAGCTGCTGACCTTTAAAGAATAAGACTTGATAGATTTGCTCTCAGCCTTGTGAAACAATTTAGGCATTTCATTCTTCTCGTAGATACACTTAACGTCAACGAATAAACAGATCAAAGAATTTTTAGTCTGGCTTAAAAACAAATCGAGTACCCTAACCCGAGTGTGTTTTCTCCATCCACGTCGAAACCTCGTCGACTTCGGTGTTGAAAATGAAGCTCGGAAAAGCTGTTGTTATGTCCCTGCATCATGGTTAATGTAACCAAACCGATGAGATTCCGGGTTGAGCAGGGTTTCTAAAGTAATCAAAGGTCTGTATAGCATCGGTGTCACGTACATTAAGTATGGGAGGGTCATGACTTTCAACACCGACGGGTTGCGGTACACCAAGGTCTTCCATTCATTCATATCTATCTTTCCGTCACCATTCGTGTCGGCGTCCATGAAAGTCTGCTCAAAAACACCGAGACACACCGCAGAGTTAACGTAGAAATCACCAACGGTACCATAAACGATTAATCTTAGCGAGCCGTGAAAACAATGAGCTCTCACCTTATCGAGAATTGCCTCGATCGTTGCATCGGATGGCTTCATTTCACATTCACTCAAAAGCACAACCAGCATTTGCTTGACCTGAACCAAAATTTCCAAAAGGATGAAGTTTCCGTAAAGAGGTTTGCATTAATATTCGAAACCGGATAATAGCATAGACCGAGGTACCTCATGACGCTCGATAAATCCAGTTCCGTCGATGTTATAAAGTTTAAATGCAACTGCAATGTAAAACAATCCAGCTAAGTAAAATGAGATGAAAGATTAACATGATGTAACATTCACATTCAACAACTGTTAACTTACATGTCATCTTTTCTTCTTGCGATGCATTTGGATGGAAGACATTGAGTGCTCGAACAAAGTCCGAAAAATCAATGACTCCCTTCTTATCAGCATCAAACAAATCAAAGATCTGCACATATTAGAAGGTTGCACAAGTAAACTATTTCAAATACTTGTTTCCAAGAATACCTAACTCCGTAACTCTCGTATCGGTACTGCATTAATGGTTTATAGAAGGAAACTGATACACCAAGTAAAAATGCTCTACACCAACTTTGCCAGCCCAAAAGACAGCCGGAAAACAAAACCTTAATGTCCAAACTCGAACGTTTTGGTCATAACAGAACAACCATATGCATGTAAAAGTAAATCAAAACCGGATTTATGATATCATGCTTATAATTACTGGACTGAAAGGCTTTAAGCAATTGGATTTTATAGATAGTATTTGTACAAGATAAGTGTGATAAGCATGCCCTCAAAACAACCTTCAACCCTATAGATCGCCTGTTGCTAGCACATCGAACGAAATTTAGGCAAAGCAAAACGACACTCGAAGTAATATTTAGTTTGCCATCAAAGCAAAATGCAACAAAATGCATTACCCGATCCGCAAAAATGTTTTTCTTCTTCTTATTTTGAAACAGAGCTAACTGAAACTCTTCCTGCACATACAACAGAAAACATTAGACCGACATTAACATCGTGTCAACGCAAACTTTCAAATTCGACAGAGAAGGAACGATGATAAACAACATCACCGACGACAAACTTTCATATGTAGATATGTATGTGATCATCCTAATCCGGACCACATTAAATGAAATCCAAAAGAACCGGTGGAAATGGAGGAATCACAGAAAAGTTCACCTTGCTAATAAGCCCATCGTCGTCCAACGAACTGCTGATGATCTTGAATAGCTCGAAGAGCGCTTCGACTTCACTAACACTAACTGCAGATACAAGTAAAATCAACCAAATAATTATTAAATCGACCGAATAATCAATTCCCAGCTGATTGCAACGATCCAATATAGTATTTTTTTTTCTACTCATTTGAGTAAAGGGCTATGTTTTTTATACCCCAAAACAAATTGCATCCACACAAACACAACAGGGGTACATCACATGCAACAAACAAAATTTTGTAAACAAATTGCAAAACTTACAATCAGTTTGTGCAGCGAGTTTAACAGGGTCTTCACGTTTGGATCTTTGCACTTTCTTTACTTTAGATTGAGTCTTCGCTTTAGAATGAAAGCAGCCCATTCACTGAGAAAAAAAAGGGAAAATGGTTATCAAAATCATTTCCTTTGGTACCTGAGAAATACCCATCACTTGAAAAAAAAAATTCAATGCATGTTGAATCAATCAACCAAAACCCAAACTAACAGCATTAGAATCAATCAAACTCAATAAGAAAACCCAAATTAGCAATCTTAACAAACAACCAAAAAATCAAATAAAAATACCGAGAATTCGAAAGGCCTGAAATGAAAAACGTCGCTTTGAAAGGACAAAGGAACGAAGCTGTTGAGAGATCTTCAACTCCTTCCTATGTCCTTCTAAACAGAACGACGAAATATAATACCAAGAGAGATGGATAAAGCCAAAGGAAGGTAAGGGCAAATATAAACAACTTTGACGGCTTAACCCAACAGTTGGGAGATCCCATTTTTTCGATGTTGTTATTATTGTTAATCATTTTATTTATTTATTTTTTCCTTTTTTATAGATAATTTTAAATTTGCTTTTGTTCGTTGTCTGTCAGCTCCTGGGAATGTTGGAATGAAACCCAAGTAAATCCTGTTTCTGATTTTGCGTTCGCGCCATGTTTGAAAATATTTTAGGGTAAATTATAGAAATGGCCACTTATTTTTTATATTTATACATTTATATTCACTAAATTAAAAAAAAACTTATGTTTGGATCACTTACGTTATTATTTTATTAAGTTTTAGTTATTGTGATGTTGAATATCGTTAGTTTAATCAATATGAGATTGATCAAGTTTTGTTTCTAGTTTAATTTTTGACGGTGGATTGGTGTATATCACTTCATTGGCTGTTGCTTATAACATTCTTCAACTAAGCTGTTCTTCATTCTTAGTTTGGTGCTCGGCATTCAATGTTTTAGTGATCAAATTTTATAAAACAATAGTATAAATGATCAAAACTTAATTTTTTTGAATTTAATGAATAAAAGTGTACAAATATAAAAGATAAATGACTATTTTGATAGCTTACCTATTTATCCCCATCATGAAAAGTAGAGGTGCTGGTGCAAACGAGTCATTTGGATCGAGTTTGGTTTGGGTCATTTTGTGTTTAGACTTAATCTAAGTGGGTTTGGATTGGGTTATTTTGGGTTTTGATTTTATTTGGATATATAGTAAGTCGGGTCGGGTTCATCATTTCGAATTTCAGTTTTATTCGAGTGAATAGAAAGTAGGATCGGTTCGGGTATCTGGTTGGATCAATATCAGATCAATTGATTTTCGTTCGGATCAATATCAGATCTGTTGATTTTTGGGTCAAGTCAATATTCGATCAATTATTTTCGGTTTAAGTCAACTTTGAATTTTCGGGTCAATTCAGGTTGAGCTAGGTACGAGTCAAATCAAATATATATAGAATTATTAATATATTTTTGTACAAAAAACGTGTTTTTTTTAAAATCTTATCATTTGTGTATTTCATTCAAATTCAATTATCATTTAAGGATTACACTTTAACTCAGTCTCGATCTATAAGATATGTTAGAGTTTGTGATATTTGTTTATTGCTCCAAACCAAAATGCTTGGGATATAATTCTCTCTTAAACACAGATGAAGCGAGCCAGCAGAAGATTTGAGATATAATAGCAAAGCATGATAACCTACCGAGGGTCAGAACCTTCTTGTGGTTGATTAGTTGTGGAAAAATTTTGACAAATTCGAAGAGACCTCGAAGACATATGACACTTGATGAGCGATGCCCTATGTGTGTGTTGAAGAATCGAAAAAAGAAAATGAAAGAACACAAGAATTTTAACGAGATTCGACAATGTACTTACGTCTTCGGTGTCTAGATGACGCTAGAAATTTTATTCAATGTCTCATAGGTTTAGGTTACATCTCTATTTATAATAAAAAAACATAGTACATAATTACATAATTAACCTTGTACCGTACCGCGGGAACTGCGCCCCGCACCCACAACCCACATAATCGTAACTCCCTCTACGAGATTTTCTTTGTAAGGACAGTTGATGTTTGATTCGTTCACTCCACTTCATCCCCTGTCCTCTTTACTGGTATATTTATGAGTCATATCTATCAGTTGGTTACGAGACTGAAGACATAGACCATGCACTTAGAACTTGCCCATCAGCGTTTTTGGTACGGGCGCAACTCCTAGATTCAAAGAACACGCAGACGTTCCTTAGTAGTGATGTAAAGATCTGGTTAGCAGACAACCTAAGAACTATAAAGTCTCAATCAAGCAGAGTGGGAAACTTATCTACTTTCTTTTGCTCAGCTGGGCAATTTGGAAAAGAAGGAATAAATACATGTTTGAACCAGATATGGTAGAGAGGGAGTCGATTATTGAAATAGCTCTCCGACAGAAGCAGGATGTAGAGAACGCTAAGACAGTTCAAGATCGAGAAGCCGGTAAGAGGAAGAAGAATTTGATCTCATGGCGACGACCTGAACCACATTAGTGCAAGATAAATACGGACGGCTCTAGACAGCAGAATACAAACGAAGCTGCTTGTGGCGTGGTAGCCAGAGACCATAACGGGGAGTGGATTTGGGGATACACGAGGAGAATTGGAATTTGCTCAACATTAGAATCGGAGCTGTGGGATATCCATGAAGGGCTACGCTTAGCTTGGAGAGAGGGAGAAGGACAAATAATCCTGGAATCGGACAGCATAGAGACAGTTAACCTGATTAAGGAGAGATCAATGGAAAGAAGACAGCTCAGTATCCTACAACATATTAAACATCTGTTGAAGAATGACTGGAAGGTGGTGCTCATGCATATTCCAAGAGATGCAAATAGGGCAGCGGATATCGTGGCGAAGTATGCCTGGAATTGCCAGGACAAGGAGCAAAGTATACAACAGCCCCCGGACGAGGTCAAGGATAGGCTGAGGCTAGAATAATTGGGTCGATAGGCAGTGTGTAAAATCCTTTGTTCAACCAAAATAATAATAATAATAATAAATTTTATTGTCCATTAAAATTTTAAATTAGATGCTTTGACACGTTCAATTATAAATATAATATTTTTATTAAATTTAAAAATAATAATAATATACTATGATTGAATAAATATTATTTTAAATATATTTATAAATAATATTATATTATTATATTATAGATAATATTTTAATATTAAATGAAAATAGATATCTTTATATTGTAAAAATAAGTTGTTTGTGTAATGTAAAAATAAGTTATTTTTATATTGAGTTTAAATAATTTTATTTTTTCACAAGCAAAGGAATTAAAATAATTTTTATATTAATTTAATATTTTTGAAAATATATTTTAATAGCCCAAAGTAAAATATTAATAATTCAGAATTTGATTTAAATAAACTAAAAACCAATTTAATAATTTTGAATCGTTAGGTAATAAAATCAAAATGAAATATTGAATTAAATTATTATTTAGATTATTTAAAGATTAATTTAATAATTTAGTTCATTAGTTAATGAAATTTAAAATAGATATTAAAGTATTATTCAATTAAAACATAGAAAATTAAAAAATTAAAATTTAACATAAATTCGAGACGATAAAGTTATTCTTATTTTATGAAATTAGAATTCTATTATATAAAAAATATTTAATGGAGAAAAATTAATTTTATCATAATTATTAATTAATGAATTAATTAATTATAGACTAATGTTAATTTAGATTTATTTAATTGTTATATATTTAATTAGCTATTTAAATTTAGATATCTAATTAATACAAATAATTAAATTTTAAATCAAATAAATAATTAATATCTATACTTGAATTTTATCTTACTATTTTATTATTTAACACATTGCTAAAAATAAATAATAATGAAAATATAATATTTATACACTTTAACTGAAATATCGGTTTAAAATCGGGTCAATATTTGGTTCAAATCGGGTTTGGATAAATTAAATTTGGATTACTTTCGGTTCGGTTGTTTTTGGTTTGAGTTGCTTTCGGTTTGACTAGTATTCGAGTCGATTTGATTTTTTTTTAATTTCGAGTCAAATTTGGGTAATCATGTTCAAGTCTATTTCGAGTTTCGATTTAGGTAAATCGGTTCGAATAATAGAGTACGGATCAAATTTACGAGGTGTAATGAAAATTAAAATAGCAAGTGGTTTATTAAGAATGGCAACTTATCGAAAATAATTTGTTATTGTTGTCCTATTTTGATAACGGAAAATAATTTCTTTTAATATATTTAATTGCTCTTATCGATTTGTTACAACTAATTGTTAAATCGTTAGTTTTTATTATATTAATATGTGATACATTATTAAAATTGATTAATTTCTAATTTGATCTATAAAATTTTGGTAAAATATTAATATGACCTATAAACTCTTTCAATTTCTATTTTAACTCACGTTGTCATCACTAATTGTCAATAAGAATGGCAACTTTGTATCATAGAGGTGGGGAATCTGTTGGTACTTTGAATCTCCTTCGGGCATTCGCCACCGGTGGATATGCAGCCACGCAAAGGGTCTCCCAATGGAATCTCGATTTTGTTAGACACAGTGAACAAGGAGACAGGTATGTCTAGCATTGTGATTTTGGAAATGCATAGATTTGCAACAGAGATCATAGGCCTCGGATTTGTTGTTGTTGTTGTTGGATTTAGAAATCTGGGTTTGGGTTTATAATTAGGTACATGGAGCTTGCACAGAGAGTCGGTGAAGCTCTCGGGTTCATGGCTGTGGCTGGATTAACTATCGATGACCCTCAAATGAACACGGTTTATTATTGGACATCCCATGAATGCCTCCATTTACCTTATGAGCAGGCCTTGACTAGAGAGGACTCAAC